CTCTCATTTGAAATCTAATTTTGGGAGAGGTTGTGTCTGTGGGCCTGAGCAGCTCGAATTAGCAAATTTAAGCACTCATTCAGCGTATCCTCTCCCTCATTCCAATATAAATTTCCTGTCGTTCCCACATTATTACTTTTGTTTTTCTGATTTTAGCTTTTCGAAGGGGATATGACCCAAAATTGAAATAATGTCCATATTCCTATTATTCTGGTATTTAAAAAATCCGATCTGTGGAAGAAATATGCCGGTGGCCGTGGCGGAAGGTCCCACAACGACAACTACAGTAACCTAAAAATATTTTTATTTTCCGAATTTTTAAAAATTCGTTTTCGTCGATTTTTCTGCTACTTTTCCCGAATTAGTCGGAACATGAAAGCTTTTGATATTGAAAAATTGACTGAAAACGCACGAAAATTAAGATAATAAATCCGGAAAAATTTTTAGATTACTGTAGTTTACGTTGTGGGACCAGCTCCGATGTTTTTTTCGTACGAAAACAAGACTAGCTGATATTTGTTTCCCGACACCCTCTGTTCGTTTTCTCACCATCTGTCACTCATTTCACTGTCTTCCTTGCCTTCACGGATCAGCTTTTGAACATCCACAAAGTTTTATGGCTTCTTATCTGGTTTAAATACACAGAATGTTTCTTTTTGAATCATCTGCAAAAGCCTCTATTTTTTTTTCTTCTCTCTGATGGATGAAAGTGAACTATGTCACATTTTGTGGTGGAGATGCCAATTGCCGTTTAGTTTGATTCTTTTCATTCTTCGAGAAGGCTAGAGACTAGAGCTCAGATATATATATATATATATATATATATCGCATCTTGCTCTCTTTCTCTTTGTGAAAATTTATCAATTCAGTGGAAGCGACTGGCCAGATGTAGGAGAGATGGAGGAGGATGTGATTTGAAATAGTTTTTTGAAAGAATGCAACTATGAAAATTGAGAACACCTTCTATTTGTTGTTTCCGTTTTTGTCCATCCGTTCGCCGTTTGAAATGCACTGTCTCTCGCCAGACTGTACACTCTTAAGCCTGTCTACTCTTCTTTTTCCCAAATATGCATGAATTTATATATCGATTAGAAGAATGTGAAAACAACGATTCAGAGCGCCTCCGGGCGAGAGTGTGGAGCGGTTTGTTTGAACATCCACACCCCCCGTTGTCGTCCATAACGAAGCATTTCTGCAGAAGACGACGATAGTTGAGGGGCGAAACGGGTTGAGACGCTTGTCTCGCAGCACTGACCAAGTCCCATGTATCTTCTTATTTTTTCCGCATTCATTTTATATTTGATCATCAATCGACGGGATAATGACCGTGTTTCGAGACAGAGGTCATTCTCTACATTTTTCCATGAAGTCTCTCTCCGGAAACCTTTCATGCCTTTTTTCTCTTTGGCTTTTTTTTTTGATTGACATCTGATGGCTTTGAGTGTTTTAAAGCATTTCCAAAAAGCACGAATTTGCTCTTTTTGGTTAGAATCACGATTTCTCTCGTTTTGCCTACAGTATTCATGTTTTTTGCTCTTTTGTTTTGTTTTTTTTTCCATGAATCGGCAACATCATCCTCCTATCTATTAAATGTGATTGTCAGCTGTAAACACGCTATCAGATAACAACGTTATGTCATTCAATCAATTGATTTCTTATTCACTTTCAATAGCCACGAAAAGAGAGAAAAGACGTCAGACTTTACGATGGGCTTGATCTGTTTCTGCAGAAACATACTGTAACCCTCTTCATAGTCAACCATCGATTACTGTATGGCTATCTAGATAGTTTTTGGATCAACATTTTTCTTTATTTCTAACAAAAAATAGAATCTCCGGTGAGCGAAGGTCACACAACGAAAACTACAGTAACCTATGAATAATTCTATTTTCCGTATTGATTTTTTCGTTTTTTTACTGATTTTCGTCAATTTTTCAGTTGTTTTTTTTCAGAAAATAAATTCGGAAAATAGAAAAATTTTTAGGTTACGGTAGTTTTCGTTTTGGGAGTTTCGGCCACGGCCACCGGAGTTTCTCTTCCCTGCCCTTATTCTTTGTACCAGAATATTTTTTTTTAACTTTTACTCAGCATCTTTCCCTAAAAAATGAAAATCCAGCTCATCAAAAAAATAGTGACATCATCTCTCTTGGGGAAAGTCTTTTGGGACATATTTATCACGATAATCACTTTACTAGTGCCTCACTCAGAGGACGAGCATCCATCCCCACCCTCATGTTTCCTTTTTTCCTCATATACTCTTTCCTTTTTTTCAACTTATGCTTAATTTCGTAATCTCTCGACACTCGAAGAGAGCCACTAAAGACAATTTCCCACTCTTTTGAGAATCTAATTAGAATATTCATGGACTTTTACCAAATTTCTCATCTACTTGAGTCAAAACACATTGTGTCTGATACCCAGATATTTTGGAAATATTCCTGATTCGTTGATTTTAGTTGTGTTGCTAAATATGTTCTTGACAACAAAAAAAAAACAAAGAGAGCAGAAGAATTTTTTGAAGTGCAGTAACATTACACCTCTCCCTTTTTTGTCTTCGCAACAGAAGAAGAAGTCGAAAACGACGAAAAGAGACATAACCAGTTAGATGACGTTGTTTCTCTTCCTCCCTCTTCTCCCACTTCAGCACATCTCCCCCGCGTTTTCCAAACACAAGCGGGGTGCATCTGCGCCCTATTGCGCAGTTTTCTTTATGAGGAAAATTCAAATTCTAGTTTTTCTGTTCTCGCATTGTATAGTTTTTTGAAAACCTACCAATTTCTTTCGTGATTGCTTCTTTTTGTTATTTAAAACGCCTGCGTCTCGACGACCCAGTGCCGTTTGGCGCCTGTTTAATGACACTTTGTCTTTCTGCGTTTCTTCGTCTTCCACAGTATCTTAGCGATGTGGGGTAACTAAGTCATCTGCCCTCGCAGGCACGTATCATGCGGGTAAAACCGAACCAGCCAACCTTCGATGTTATCAGAAACGATTCGTCGGACAGAGCGATGGGTTCCTGTTTGGAGACGTCTCCTGCGTCTCGATCACTTTCTTCATTCTCTCTAATCCTCGCTTTTTTGACTAACTTGACCAAAAATGACGCAATAATTGGAGGAGGCCATGAGCTGATTCGTTCCTTTCCGGGCAACTTCCGGTGCTATCTGGCTGTTGGAATCACAGGCTATTACGTTTTCCATCATAAATCTGGGAGGCTAGAATACTTTGAAGGTTAGAATCACTAGTTTCTAAGCGACGACTAACTTCTGGGACAAAATAATTCATTTGAAAAATACCGGGAAAATGGGTTTGACATTTACGGAATCCTTCGACCACTGAACTAAAGAAGAAGAGAATAAATCTCTTATTGGAAAAATTACGGTCCTTCACCATCAGCAAGCGGCGGAAGAGTTTTTTCAGCAAATTTGGACTTTTCCTCGAGATTTTTCCTTGGAAAAAATCGAGAAAATCCTCAGAAACGATTGCTTCCTCGGAATCGGAGGTATCTCGATACAGCGAAAGTTGTTCAATATCAGAGAGATCCTCTGTTCTTATCTTTGGCCTACATTTTGAGACCATCGAATATAGGTTGATAATTCAATGCCATGATTCCGTAGTTTCACCGCATGTTACTATTTAAAACAATGATTAATTTTATCGTTACCAGTTCCTTGGCCTTGCTCCTCCACACTAACCAACTGATTTCTCTTGTCTCGTGTATGATAAGAAAAAGAGAATGACGACGAAGAAAAGCAATACGGTAAACAGTTTGGCAAACATACTTCACCGAGCACCTTCTCTCTCTCTCTCTCTCTCTCTCTCTCTCTCTCTCTCTCTCTCTCTCTCTCTCTCTTTTTTTTTTTCCTTCCCGATTCGCGACTCTGCTTCCTTCTAACCGGCTCTGCGTTTGACTCTTTTATCCTGCGACTCTCTGATTCGAATGCTCTTCGCCCTCCGACTTTCGGATTTTTTTCTGCTGGTGGTGCACTCCGCGCTCTTGCACCGACCCACTACCATCATCATCGCACAGCCGTCGCCGCCGCCGCCGGTGAAAATGTTTAGGAGAATAAGAAGAATGTGAATAGTGCCTGGTTGTCGATTTTGTGTGTGTGTGTGTGTGTCTGTGTGCACATATTTGGTACCCCGCCGATTCACGGTAGCTCTATGGGTGTTGATCCAGCTGCTGTTGCGCGCCAGATTCATTTTTCCATGATGATTGTAAAAATAATATTAATAAAGAATGGTTTTATTATCCAAATAACAATAGAATAGAGGATGAGAGAGAGGGTAAAAGACATGTTGACGACGCCCACTGAAATCCGATATGTTCCCCTAAATTCCCTCTAATTATGTCGATTCGCTCCAGTAATGAAAATGTTATCCTTCTTATCTAAACGCACTAGTCTTGCAGCCACTTTCTATTTTCATTTCGAGACTTCTTCTTCTTCTTCCATACTCTTCTCCTTTTTTTTTGAAGAGTTGTTTTTTCCTCTTCCTCTTTTCCAGAGCTTTCGTCCACTGGCCAGCTGGTATGAATTTGCTCTCCTTATGTCTAATCTTCTGCGTCTTCTTTCGTTTAACACAGTTATTTTTCTGTCTGTCTTTTTCCAAGACTACTGACATTATTCGCGAAATGATAAAGGCGTATATGACGTGTTTTATATACATCAACCTCGATTTCTATTTTTAAATTTAGCTCTCTAGGAGACATTTCATGGATAGAGATCTTTTTTGCCTTCTGTCCACGCATTTTAACACGTTTCCCATAATGCTCGTTTTCTACAATAAGCCCTTTTTATCTTCTCAATAATCAATTCTAATTTTGGTCTTTTTTGCAGACTGAAAGAGTGTGACAAAGTCTGATCGAATCGGTTGTTGAAATCGAGATTCGAGAGACTACGGCCACGCCACACGCGCTCGTTTCGTGCTTCTCCACTCTTCTCACATTTATTACGGGTCCATATAGTATTGTTGGTGTTTCGTCACCTCGAACGGTTTGCTGAAAAATGCTCAAATCGTCCGCCAGCATGAACTTCTCCTCCTCCACAAACGGTTATGGTCATTCGCCTCGTGACCTGCTCACCGGAGCAGCAGTTACGAATAACGGCGGAGGCGCCACGACAACGTCACCGTCTACGCCTGTCAATCTGGATATACAACGGTAAGATTTTAGTGGTTTTGTACTTTGTTATCAAAATTTTATTTTTCAGAATCGACAACACAGAAGGGACTACGGTAGTGATGGTTAAATTGACGGATGAGATGTTCGCGGCTCTCGAAGAGGGACAACGGAGCGGTAAGAAGTTGCGGATACACGTCACTGAAAGGGAGGGCCGCGTCGAAATCGGAGATGGAACCGCTTCTTCAAAAACCAATAATACTTTTTCGTTTCAAAAGCAATCTTTACCGGTAAGTATTTATTTGAATTCAAAAAATAGAGCTTTTTTCTATGACATTTGCAGGACCAAACAGATACTCTTGTACAATCAAATGGGTGTTTTCAAAATGTTGGAACGTACAAAATGAAATATCAAGTAAAACATCTAAAATTGAAGCAAATTTCTCTATCAAGAGCGTTATAGGTTCAAGCAACAGACAAGTCATTCGAAGAAACGAAAAAACGGGCTGCGGAAGCTGCTGAAAAAGAAAAGAAACGAGGAACGATAGATATGAAGTGAGTTTTTACCCGAAAAAAAAATAACTTTTCTTTTCTTACAGAAAAGGAAGCGTTCCTTCCTCTTCTCGATATCTGAATTCTTCTTCTTCTTCGACTCCGCGAAACCTAAACGGATCCAGCTCATCACGTGTCAGTCCATCGTTCATTTCTTCGAAAGCTTCAACGAGTAGTTTCCCTAACTCGAAAGGAACCCCAAATGGATTCGATAGCAAAAAGATTGATATGAAACCGGAGTTGATGAAAAAATCAATCAAGAAACGCATCATTCATCTTGTCGTCACCCAAAAGTACAGTAACTGGGAGGATGTTCACAAGAAGTTGAAATCTGATGGATTACCAGAGGAAAAAGATGAAGCCGAGAAGATCCGGAGTTGTGTGGAAGAAGTATCAGAGACACGACCGGAAATGACTGTCTTGTCACTTCGTTCATCGTTTCTCTCGGAAGTCGATCAACGATGGATGTTTTTCAATCAGGATGAAAAGGCGCATGTGAGACGTCTCTGTCAATCTGGATCACGTGCGGCTCCAACCGAATCCAACTTCGCTCCAATGCGTAAGAAGGGAATGGAGAGGATGACTGCCAGTTCGAAGTCTTCTTCCGAGAAAGATCGAGTCAAGGAGAAGGTTGAGGAGAAGGCTCTAAGCCCACCAAAAGAACAAAAACCTGTGGTGGTCGTCGACGATGACGATTATTACCCGGTTCCCGAGCCGGCTAACAAACGTCGTGCTCACAACTTGGCTCCTCCACCATCGATCACACCACAAACGACGTCTTCTCAGACAGAAGGAACAACACCGAAACGAACGAAACGGAACGAGTCAACGAGTCCTCCGGTGGATCAACCACAGAGAGCTCCGGAACAACCGAAAGTGAGTTTTTTACAAAATTGGATTTTTTCAAAACTTTGATATTATTTAGTTGAACCCGGCGAAGCTTGCTGCGACTATTTCGATGCAACCAGTACCGAAGTTCGAGCAGCCACGCGAGTATCATACTGCTGCTTCGGTGGCTGCTAACGGAGGCGGATCGACTGCATCCAGCAGAATCTCATCTCCTGCCTCATCGTTGTCATCACCAAGTCAGCCATCGTGTAACTGGGAGAAGACTTTTGGAGACATCAAGTCACTTACTGACGCGGAGTCTTACTTCCACATGTTCCATAAGGAGTATCCAATGTACATGGAATGTCACCGCAAGTTGACCGAGGTGTCGTCTGTGTTCCGTAAACTGGAAATGAAGCTTGCGAACGCGATGGCTGTGCGGAAGGCGTCTCCATCTCCGCAAAACGTTCAAGAAGTGAAGATTGTTGAACGAGAGATACAACAACGTTATGCATTCTATGAAAAAGATCCCGAATTTATGAGAGTGAGTTTCTGATTATTTTGTAGATCATTTTTAATTTTTCAATTATTTCCAGGCTCGTCAGCGTCACACAGATCTCCGCTCAAAACTTAACGTTCTGAAAACTCGTATTGGTAATTGGGAATCTCTCCGAAGGCAGACCGCCACTGCCTGAAAAAAAATAGATTCCTCTAGTGCCCATTTTATTATCAAAGCTTGTTCCAAATGAAACCACCCGTGTGTTTGCTGTTTTTTCCCATTTTTATCATATGAAACATGACGGTTCAAATTGCTTTCCCGCCTTTTTTCTCTCCTGCTCCACAACAAAAAAAAACGCTCCCATTTTCTCCCGTGTAACAATCTCCAATTCCATCTTCTCTCGCTCCCTCTTTCCGTTCTCAATTGCTGGTTCAAAGAAAAAAATACTGTGGTTCCAAAATATAGTCCAAAAAAAGAGCGTCGCCGTTTTTGACGTCATCTCACAAAACCGAATTCTTGCGTTTTCTCAAAACTTCGTTGTAATTTTTCCCCTTTTCCTATACTATTGTGTTTTACTGTCCCTTTTTTTGCAGTTTATCTTGTTCTCCAGTTACAATGTAGTCTTCATTCTTCGTTGTGCTCGTGATAGATTTTTTTTTCATTGTGATTATATGTATGCTAATGCCATGAGGGTAGATCCCCGTTTTGTGTCCAAATGTGATTTTCTCCTTCCTCGGCTATCCCTTCCCCTTGCACCCCCATCCCCTTCATATACCCATCAACCTTACCCACTTTTTGGATAGCTAAAAAATCAAATAAAACCCACCAACTCCACACTTGTCGAAGGCCGGTGATAAAAAGATACAACTCACGGATTTCTTTCTTGTTTTTTCATGATTACATTCTTCTCTTTTTCCTTCTTCCCTCACCTACATTTGTAATCTTTTTTTGCTCTCTTTTTCTAGTAGAGTCCTTTAAATGGACTGTGCCTTCTTGTCTAGCTTTTTCTCCTCCCCTCCATCATCACGTTTTTCTTTCCTTCATTTTTTCATCGCGGTTGTTGCCATTGAGCCGGGAATTTTGACTTTTGTGGCATAGTTTTTTGTAGTTATCCATTTTTGTATCTTTTGTGTCCTGTCATTATCATAATCTTTTTCTAAAGTGATATCAAATAAATGTTAATTGCATCGTGTAGTCATGTTTTTAAGCACATCCCCCAGTCGAACGGAACAGCTGATGAAACGAAACGAACAATTGGGCAACGGAAAACACGAGATACTAAAAACACACTACGTAGTGTGAGATGGGACAATAACCGGAAATTGGAATCTCTGGAGTGAAAGAATAATAAAGAATTGGCATTTCAAACATTTGTTTTTCTGAACTTCCAGTTTTAAAATAATTTCAGAGAGAAATAACATTAAAGGAGAATTGCGGAAGTTTGACCAATTTGCTTTCTGAAGTGATCTATAATTTCTTTTGCAAACGAATTTGTTTTTTTTTTTCGAAGTTGAAGTCCTTCAAAAAATATTCTGATAAAAAATATTCTGATTGGTTTTTCCAACAAAAAAGAAGGAAATAGCAGATTTTCGAACAAAAAATTATCCTGGAAAAGAACAATATGAGCAGTTGGGTTACTGTAGTCTGAATTACCAGTCGGGTTACTCCTTCCAGTCGGGTTACTCATTCGGGGCTGAAAGTCCTGGCCGCTCACAGTACCCGTTGTCTTCTAAATATTAGGATTTTAGAGTTTTCGAATTGCGGATTTTTCAATTGGTATTTCAGAAATTCAGAATTTTTGGTTCGTAAATTCCACAGTTTTTGAGTTTTTGAATTTCAGAATATCCGCTTTTCTGATTTTCCGGTTCTCCGAATTCTTGAGTTTTGGAGATTTTAATTTCTGATTTTCCGAATTTTAAAAATTATGAAGACTCAAAATTTCGAAAGCTCGAAAACAAGAAAAAACAATGATTCGTTAATTTCGGAAAATCTGAATTTCTGAGATTATAGTTCTGCGATATATGAAACTTCAAAATTTAAGAATCGTCTTATTTTTGTTTCTCGAAATTAGTATTTTCTTGATTTCTCAATTTCGTAATCTGAAGTTCCTATTTTCTAAACGTTGAATTTCTAAGTTTCTAAGTTTTAAAATCTAAATTTTCAAGATTCGTTTTTTACATAGTATTTAAACTGCTGAATCTCCCAGTTTGAATCACTGAAATTCTATAGTTTCTGAGTTTCTCAGTCTCTGATAATTTATTAATTTTTCAAATTCTGGTTTCCCGAATATTAGAATTTAAAGTTCTCGAGTTCCTGAGTTTCTGAGTTTTTAATGATTTGAGTTGGAATCCCTAAAATGACAAAATGTTAAATTTCCAAACTTCCGATTAACTGAAGTGAGATTACAACTACCGTAATCATTGTAATAGAGAGGCAGAAACTTTCAACTTTGAGCTAATATATCTCATTCCATTTGAAAGATATGAAATACTGGTCAACTGATAAAATTCGAAGTGGAAAGTTTGGGTAGCACTCTATTAGAGTCTCTATTAGAGTGCTTACGGTAGCTGACACTCAAAAATGTGACTCAAAAGGGATGAGTAGAAAATCGTGTTAAAAATAGAACTGTTTTCATCATAATTCGCTCTTGAAAATTCACTGTTCTGAACTTTCAATTATCCCACATAAGATTTCAGGCATTGATTTCCAGTTATAAAGGTTTGTTGTGCGGAATCAATTTTGAGAAGATCCATTTAGAAGTTTACGAACTTCATACTTTTCTTCTTCAATTTCCAGATGAAGCTTTATTATGTACATTTCAAAATTATACATGAGAAGAAATGAATCACAGTGAATTTTATCACAGAATTCCAATATTGACATCTGTTCCGCTTCTTGAGACTAATTCCACCTGGGTGCACTGTGCACGACGAAGAGAAGAACATGGATTGCGGAAGATGGCTGCGAAGAAGGCTGAAAATTATTAGCGGGAAACTCGAAATTATTGAGTGGAAATCTTTACCAAAAACAGCTTTTCGATAGTTTTTGATAATAAACATGTTGGGAAGTGGGTCGATTGCTGGGTAAACAGCAATTGTCATAGCTATGAAGCTGCTTGCGAATCCAATGTCAACTGCGATCATTGGGAAAGTGAAGAGGATCGCAATTGGAATGTACATAAGGATGAGAGGAATTACCGTCTGAAAGTATTCAATAATATTTAGACATCTACTGTAAACTTGTAATAGAAGGGTCCCCTAACGGTTAACTTTGGGACAACTTATCTAGGTTCCTGTATATGGAATAAAGATATAATCAACTAATAAAGTGTTCATCATAGTATCACAAGCATTTTATCAGTTGGCAGGTTTTTGATATCTCTTATAGGAGTCGAGATAATTAAGCTCAAACTTAACAATGTTCCTTTTGTTACACAGTTTATTGTAACTTTTGAAGTACCTGGACCACAAGAGCTTGGAAAAGTTGTTGCTGGAGACTCTTTGTGACACTAGATACCGTACAAGTTTTTGAGAGAGCTTCGGTGATGCGGAAGTAGCATTTTAGCCCGAAAAAGAAGACACAGAAGACCGAACTGAGCTGAAACGTAATACATAGGAGTACAGTAGATACCGTATTCCTCAAAACTAACAATCATGAACCACATGCAAGCAATTGAAGCAAAAACAGCGACATCCGGGTAGGTATTCCCATTGGAATCAACTGGATGGAAAAGAACAATTATATAGGAGGTGTCTTCAATTGCAGTATCGTATCCATCAAAGATTGTTCGTCTGAAAGTGCTTCTTTATTCTCAGAATGGAAGAATTTTCTTGAACTTCAGCGTACTTTGTTTCAAAACCTTACACTTTTTGGGCACCTGGTACATTCATTGTCTAAACAAAACTGTCAAAACTGTCCCATGGTACCAAAAAAATAACAAAAACATATCAAGTGTACTACAGTACGAAAAAAAAAACTAATCCCATGAGACCCCTTTTACCTCATATAATCATCGGTAGAGGCGTCGAAGTGAAAATAGAGATAACAAAGGATGGACCACCAGGTCCCATAGAAGATTGGCATGAAAAAAAGAATGTAGATTTTGTTTCCTCCCAACCATCGATCTCTGAATTCTTTCACAACTGCACCGTAGCGGTAGATGAAGTGAACACCAAAGATGGCTAGAGAAAATCCAAAACATCCACAGTAGATGACAATGAGGATGAAGCTCTGCTCGCGATCAAAGTCCGAATTTTTGAAATTTCGGAAAACGACAAACGCCGCTTTGTAGGAATGAACCATCTGAAGTAATTTTCAGACACTTCTTAAAACTTTGTGCTAAAATACCGGTTCAGTTGTAACATCCCAAATGGAGTAAAGAGCTTCAAAACTTGAAATGTATATCATAAGATACTTATACAATCCAAGTTTCTTTGGAGAATGAGCGAGGATGAGGAAAATGAGAACGCAATTCAGCGAGACTGACATGAAAGCGGAAAGATACTGTACAATCTTGAGAAAGAAATTCCAAAACTCGCTGAGATGCATGATGACAACGGAAACGCTTTTTTGTTGTTATTACTAGCTTTTATATACTACTTTTCTTTGATGGTGGTCGTCGGGGGGATGGGCGGAGCCTGTCTAGACATTGTTCTCCGGTAGATGAATGGGCTCAAGGGATCCAGTACGGGTGGCTTAGAAACGAAAACATTCAACGTAATTGGAGAGTTTTGGAGAAAAGAGCATCGGATGTATTGGGATTCCATAGATGATATTACCTCAATTCTTAGTATTGTCTGTGACATCTTCGATATTTATGGGGAATCCGACAATTGAGGAAGTGAAGTTTGTGATTTGAAAACGTACAGGAGATCTCTGTGATAGCGATGGGCAAGATGACTAATTATGCCTTTTCTTCGTCCCTGAATGAGCAAGCCATCTAAAAAACTGCATCAATGATTATTGGACCGAAAAATTTATGTTGATTCTCGTTATGGGAACCTTTGGCCACGCCCACATGATTTTCTCTTCTACAGCTCCGATTTTTTTTGTTCGAGAAACATACTATAAGTCACCGCTTGGGCGGTGCCTAATGGTTTTACAAATTGTGTTTCTAAAAGTGTATCAATACCCACTAATTCGTAACAACACGTTAGAATGTTTTCGAAAAATCAGGAGAAGAGGAAGGTCTTCTCCCGGATACGCAATATGTCGTAACGGTGCTACCGTAATCCATACGCAAACTTGCACCGGCGAAAAATTCGTGAACATTGTTTTCCTTTCTTTTCATTTTTTACCACTTGACCTGCATTTAGATTCAAAAAAACATGGCCACTCGGTGGCGATACTATAATTCGAAACGAGGTAATAATAATCGAGGACGAGGAAGAGGAAGAAATCGCGGAACGAGTTTAACAGCAATCTCACTCCCGCGGCAAGATCGTTTTCCTGGTGGCTTAAACGATGACGAATTCTTTCAAGGTGAATTAATATTTCAAGAAAACTAGCAAACGAAAATTCAGACAAGCCTATGAACGCGAAGGAGTTCGTTGATGAGACAGTTTTAAGTGTTTCGTTTTCCGGGAACATGCTCGGAGCCGCATGTTACGAACAATCCTCTCAATTAGTCAGAATTATGAACGATGTGTCCGAAGATCACGAATTCGCTCTTTTGGGAAGATGTGAGCTGAAAAACTGTTCTTTCAGAGTTAAAATTTAACTTTTAGTGATCGAAGAAGTGAAGCCTACAATGATTATAGCAAATAGAAGTCAAGATCTCGATTTCATCAAATTGTTGAGCTCAAAATGTTTGTATAATAAATATTTAAACTAATTTAACAATACGAAATCATTTTTTAGATGCAAAACACGAAAGACTACCATCTGATGGTAAAAGCTCTTCACACACTTCTACATACGACACGATTCCGACTTGGGATGCCTCACTTGTGTATTCTTCTGACGATGTGGAGGAGAAAGAAGATCAAGATGATGACGATTTCGATGGGCCACCAGCGACACTTCACAAACTTCCCAATAACTTTTTCAGTGAACTAGTTCTCATTTTTTCATGAAGATCCCGGGCATTGCAGAAATGCCCAACGCTTTGCAAAGGCTGAAGATGATGGTCGGATCTGACGACGCTAAAATGACTGATGAGGATAAACATATAATCGTTGCGATGCGCTTTGATATCGAAGCAGTTAACATGGTTTGTAATGAAGTATTCTTTGTCTGAAACAACATAAATTTCAGATGAGATCTTTCGGTGCTCTTCTTCTTTTCTTAGACGAAACACGTCTCGGAGTAGAGAATCAGCCGTTATCAGTGAGCTCACCGATCAAGTCGATCAAGACAATGACACTGTGCGTTTAGAATTGTTTCATTTTTCTCAATAAGTTACTTTTTTTCAGAGAAAATCTTGTTGATATCGACTATAGCACAATTCAAGCGCTGGATATTCTGCCTAAAGAAATCGAGAGCAAAGTTAGACAATTTTATTTGTTTTAATCACATTTTACTTATGCTTGTCTGAGACAAAAAAGTGTGAGACGCAGAGAATTAGTGTCTGCGTCTCCACTTAATATGCGCTATTTAGGCTCTCCGCTTCGAAATCGCTACCGTATTCAGACTGCAAAAAATACCCTCTAACCTTTTTTTCTCAGACAAGAATAATAATATAATTCTTTGTTTTCAGAAAAATGTCGGAAAAGATAGATCTTTATTTTCGCTGGTCGACAGATGTCGATCAACGGTTGGCAAGAAATGCCTCAAGAAATGGTTCAAAAATCCTACAACTGACAGAGCAGTTCTTCTTTCGAGACAAAAATGTGTGCATTATTTCAAACAGGATTGGAATGCTGAAATCACTGCGAAGATTGCATCGATGCTCGGAAAAGTCACCGCATTGAATGTTAGTCGGAGAGAGAATGTAACTAATCTTACAAGGCGTTTTTAGAATGTTTTCCAAAGATTTCAAAGTGGAACAGCGAAGCTTCTTCATTGGGAGTGTTTCGTTTCGACTGTCAATGCACTGGTGGATGTTGTTCACATACTTCGGCAGACACCTGTAACCATATTCGAATGTACCGAAATTTAGAGTTTTTTTCAGATTGCTAAAGAGTTTCCCGTCGAGAATTCTCTTCTCACAGAAGTTTCAGAAATCGCTATTATTGCTAGTTCAATCGTAAGTTCTTCATAATTAGTTTTTTTTGCTAATATTAATACAATGTCGATCAGATCAACTTCGCCGAATCCAGAATTCAAGGTAGAGTCACTGTGAATCCAGCAATAGACGAGGAACTTGATAAATGTATGAAAGGGGTGTGGTCTTTTTGAAAGTTGTTTTGATTTTTGCAGTGAGGGACATTTATGAAAATATGCCATTGTTCCTGACTGCGGTCGCGAAGCAGGAATGTGCTCGATTGGGACTCGATGCTTTCAGTAATGTCACAATTGTCTACATTCCATTGGTTGGATTTGTCCTCTCACTTCCCACGAACTTCCCAGTGGAAAATTATAGCGAGTTTGTTTCAAGATCTTTGAAACACAATACCTCTACTAATATTGTTTCAGCATGTCACTGGTTTATGCTAAAAGTGATGAGGTTCGTGTCAGAAATGAAACAACTGAACGATTGGACGATGAGTATGGCGATATTCTGATGAAGCTTATCGACAGTCAAACTGCTATAATTCTAGCTTTGAAAACCCGTGTTCTGAAGAAGAAAAGGAGTATCAGCAAGCTGCTTTCAGTTGCAGCTAGAATAGATGCTCTTATTTCTATGGGTCTTGTCGCTGCAGAAAATGGATGGAATTGTCCAACACTGATGGATGAGCCTGTCATTGAAGCTCTCGAGTTGTTCCATCCAATCAGTGTTTTGGTTGTGAAAAAGAATTTTGTGCCAAATAAAGTGACCAGTGGACGAGATGGAATCAAAGCTAGCATTATCACAGGACCGAATGCGTGTGGAAAAAGTGTCTACATGAAATCCATCGGGATCCTCGCATTTTTGACTCATATTGGGAGTTTTGTGCCAGCGAGATATGCGAAAGTTGGGATAGTTGATCGAATTGTAACGAGGATGTTTACTGTAGACTCTGTTCTTGATGGCATGTCTACATTTGCCAAGGATGTGGAGCAAGTTGCTTTCGCTTTGAGAAAAGCCACAGGAAATTCGTTGGTTATCATTGATGAGTTCGGAAAAGGAACGATGACAGAAGTTGGATTAGCTCTTTTGGCATCTTGCATGACTTATTGGTGAACAAAGGACCAGAGCATTGCCCTCACATCTTCTTGGCTTCTCATTTCCATGCACTCCCCAAGCACATCCCACTTGATAAGAACATCGCCTCATTCTTGGTAGGTCTACTTCATCTTCTAAAAAATTTGTAAAACACTTTCCCGCGCAATTCTAATATTTAAAAAAATCGTATCTTCAGACATTCAAAGTTCTTCGCGAGGGAGAAGGCAAAATAAAGTATCTATTCCAATTGGCTCCTGGATTGATTGATTGCTCATTCNCTATGGCTGTTGCGATAGAAGAAGGCATTCCGATGCCAGTCATTGGAAGAGCTTGCCGAATTTACAAAGCCCTTAAATCAGGAGTCTCTCTGAAAGAGATAAAAGCAGAAGTTTCGAAAAATAATGACGAGAAATTGGTTGCAGAGATGGATATCGTGCTGTGAGTTTTTCAAATAAAACTTCAAGGTTTTTTGGTGTTACACTATACTGTTACAGAAGGAATGAGGATGGGTTCATAGACGCCGTGGAAAGTTTTGTCATCAGACAACAACGAGAGGAAATTGAGGCAAAAGCAAGATCAGAGGCGAAAGCGAGTTATACAGAACCGAGCGAAGTTGCATCACTGCAAGATAATCTATCATCGGTTTCGAAAAGGAAATCGGAAAACTACCAAAGAACCAGGTAAGAAAACTTTTTGCAATATTTCGGAGTCAATTTTCGACACATTTTTCAGAGGTCAGAGTGTTCTCTCAACCAAGTCTGCTCAGTCAGTCGATTCCGTGTTGGATGCGTTGCTACCAAAGAGAAAGAGGATAGCAACCCCTATATTGAATGAATCTAATGTGACTCAGGAACCACCCAGATCTCCGGATCCTTTCTCTATAGACGACGACAGTGTCACTTCAAAAGGCGAGGAGAGAGAAGATGTTATTTCGACGACAATGGTTCCACAGATGCAAAGGCTGGCAAGTGAAGAGGAAGAAGATCACACGACGCGGTAAATTAAAATCATATTATCTGTCTGGGTCAAAGTTTTTTTTCCAGCTCTCATAGTTCAGTAATGGCCAATCCTCAATTGGCTGATAAGTATAATACTCCAGCAAAACCAGGTGGAACGAAAGGATGTCAACCTTCTTCTACATCTAAGTTTCCAATATCAACGAAAATACCGAAAACAACAGATCAAACGGTTCTTCTCAATGACGATTTTAATGTTCCGGAAACTCCAAATCAACCAAATCAAACATCACGTTTAAGGTATTCACTACATCGTCATTTCAACTCAATCGAGTTTTCAGTTCGCGGTCTTTCTTGATGCCTCAACTGCCATATCCAGATAAATACGTTTTGGATAGAATTAAGGAACGTTCAACGAAAGATTCCATGTTCAAAACTCCAACAAATGATAGGAGGTTTGAAATATGAAGCACCTTTTTGAACAATCACAATTTTATTAGACTTCAAAAATTGACTCAAGGGACTCCAAGAGATCGAGACATCCATACACCGATTCAGTCTTCAAGAAACACCCCAGAAGCACATAATTCAATGTTCAAAACGCCAAACGCAACAAAATCCGGTCATAATATGATGACCCCAAGGACATCTTCGCGTCGGGAATTCAGAAAAGACGATATTTTGGAAACGCCACAGACTCCAAAGAATCGCAGCTCTTTCACTCCGAGTGGATCTCCGTTCTCGATATTTGCCAGCCAGGCTACCTTCGGTGGAATTAGTTCCTCTGAAACTTCCGATCATGATATGTCTCAGTTCTTCGGATCATTGAATAACAACCGCGTTGAGAAGGCGCAATCGAAAAATTCTCAGTCGACAGTCTTCGACACTCCGGTAGCAAAGAGCTCAGAAAAGCAGAGGTAAATAGAAAGTTTTCAATCCTAATCCAATAGAATTTTCCAGATACCCTTCCCAAAAAAGTAGTTCAAAGTCACGAGTGTCACCCAGCAGTGTGGTTTTAGAAAGATTGACTGGGGAAGAAAGTCAAAAGACGCCCCAGCCCCGTGGAGATTACATCATTGACTTCGAGTTCCAAATCAACGATACCGACCCAATTTACGGAAAGAAAGACCATTTGCATGGCCCTAGTTTCGATTTTTTGAATTCACAAGACGATGCAGATGATAATTTCATGGACTTCCTTGATTCTCCGAGTTCGTCAAGAATCGACACTGGCAAGAAAAACAGAAAGTAAAAATGTATTGTAGTAGTTCGTTTTCATGTTAGCTCTTATATAATTTAATCATGTGTTATCTGTATTCTTGTTTTCTAGATAGTTTTGTATTTGTTCTTTAAATTTATGAATAAAGGTCTGAATCAAATTAAAGAAATTTGTGTTGGCGCTTAAATAAAAAGTTTAGCAAGAATATATAAAAAGTTTTGCGAAAGGAGTTCAGAAGTTCAAGAGTAGAGAGAGAGAGAGAGAGATGTGAACTGTTCCTCGGAGGTTTGAAGTCGGAACTCAGTGTGATCCAGTAGATCCTTCGCTACCAGAAAGCTAAGCGTACGCCATCAATTACTATTTCATTTTCTTTGAAAGTTTGATTTCGGTCATTTGGTAAAAGGGGGACGTTCAGTGATAAACACCTAGCCATGAACCCCAAACAATGGCGACCTGAGGCCTTTTAGTACTTTTTTTTACTTCAATGACGTCTATCAGTCTTCTAAGAAACAAAATAGCAATGAGAAGCGTATCCGAAGCTTCTTGACAGTGGGCAGCATCCAACTCTTTCCAGCATCCAATATCCAATCCTCCTTGCTCATTCGTTGCCCAGTGATCGTAGTGGAGTAGAGACGCCAGTAGTCTTCGTAGAAGTGATCGGATTCCTTGTCATCCCAGCTGCCCTGGAAGCTCGTTACAACTCGGACTCCTCATCGACTCCTCGGTCCGACTTTTCGTTGATTTCTCCAGCTTATATAGCACCTGTAGATCAGATCTGGAGATAAGATGAGAAAAGAGTTCATGAAAGTTGTCAGCACGCGGAATTTCTGGTTTTTTTTGTAATTAAAAAACGAGAATAGTAGATTGTATAGAATAGTAGATTGAATAGTAGAATAGTAGATTCACGTCAGATTACTGTAGTTTTCGATTTAGGTCAGTGTTCTGAAAACATGTGAATCTGGATCATCAACATCATGGAACAATGAGAAATTACGAAGTCTCGAAATCTTTGATTCTCGACACCTCCGAATCTCAGACCCCCAGAATATCAAAATTTCAGAATTACAAAATTTCAGAATTTTTAAATTTCTGAATTCTGAAACTATAGTTTGAAAATCTAAAGAAGAAAATAGAAAATGATGAAATTTGAATTCTGAAATTCTAAGATTCCGAGATTTTGAGATTCTGAAGTTCTGAGATTCTGAGATTCTGAGGTTCACAAATTCGGAAATTGAAAATTTTTGATATTCTGGGGGTCTGATAATCTGAGATTCGGAGGTGTCGAGAATCAAAGATTTCGAGACTTCGAATTTTCTCATTTTTCCAATTCTAAAATTCTAGGTGTTCTGATGGTGAGAGGTCTACGCCGATGATGTTAATGTTCCAGATTCACATGTTTTCAGAACACTGACCTAAATCGAAAACTACAGTAATCTGACGTGAATCTACTATTCTCGTTTTTTTAATTACAAAAAAAACCAGAAATTCCGCGTGCTGACAACTTTCATGAACTCTTTTCTTATCTTATCTCCAGATCTGATCTACAGGTGCTATATAAGCTGGAGAAATCAACGAAAAGTCGGACCGAGGAGTCGATGAGGAGTCCGAGTTGTAACGAGCTTCCAGGGCAGCTGGGATGACAAGGAATCCGATCACTTCTACGAAGACTACTGGCGTCTCTACTCCACTACGATCACTGGGCAACGAATGAGCAAGGAGGATTGGATATTGGATGCTGGAAAGAGTTGGATGCTGCCCACTGTCAAGAAGCTTCGGATGCGCTTCTCATTGCTGTTTCGTTTTTTAGAAGGCCGATCGACGTCATTGAAGTAAAAAAGTACTAAAAGGCCTCAGGTCGCCATTGTTTGGGGTTCATGGCTAGGTGTTTATCACTGAACGTCCCCCTTTTATCAAATGTCCGATATCAAATATTAAAAGAAAATTGAATAGCAATTGATAGTGTACGCTGAGCTTTCTGGCAGCAAAGGATCTACTGGAACACACCGACTTCCGACTTCAAACGTCCATCTTACAAGTTCAAAACTAACACTTCATGCTAACTTTTCACATATGTTTTTTAAAATCAATTTCTTGTCTTATCAAGTTTCTTAGATTTTACGATTTTCGATTTTTGGAAATAGGATTACTATTGCAATGAAAAGCGTACGCGTGGCTTTCTGGTAACAGAAGATCTACGGGAACACTGATATCCGACTTCACTTCTTGATTAATTTTCTCATCATACAAGCCGAAATTCGAAAATTCTCCTGAAAATTCAAAAAATCGATAACTCAACCCACTCGTACGTATTTTATCATATCTTCGTTCAAACTGTTTATTTTTTGACGAATTTTGGTAACCGCGTAGTCAGAGAGATTTTCTATCGATGAGAAAAAGAATCAGAAAAAACGGACTGAAATGAACCCAGTCAGGATTTTTCGGGGTTGCGCCATACCTACGCATTTCCAGGGAAGAGATTTCTAGAGTTTTCTAAGGTTTTAGGGGCGCATTTCTAGAGGATTTTCTGAATTCTGTTAATTTTTTTTTTGAAAAATCGTTTTTTTCTTTTAAATCAGCACCCAATTCGAATATATTCAAAATTAAAAGCTATAAGATGACTTTAAGTTGAAGATTTGACTGAATTTATTTGTTTCAAAATCCGACTCATATCGGACGGAGAAACAAAATGTATCCATCGCTTCTTTTTTATCGCCAAAAGAAATCTTTGGCAACGATCTCCAAAATGGATTTCAACAGGGGAACAATAGGTGAATCCGCATTGAAAAAATGCATCCGAACCGACAAAAAACGATAGTTTTCGTCTCTTTTTTCATATTGAATTGGTTATTGTTTCATCAACTGAGAAGAGTCAAAATTATTGAAAGAAATTTCATTTTACAGGGAGCTGTAAACAAAAGGTTTGATTTTTTTTTGAAAATAGTAACTGATATTTTTATGCTGGAACAAAAATATCGGAAGTGAAACGCCAGTGGTCGAAGGTCCCACAACGAAAACTACCGTAACCTACATTTTTTTATTTTCTGCGTTTTTTTCTCGATTTGCGTACTTTTCAGAAAATTTTTTAACTGTCAAAAATTGTTATGTTCCGACTTTTTTGTGGAAAAATAAGAGAACAATCAATCATCGGCGAAAATCTGAGTAAACAAAGGAAAATAATCCGGAAATATAAATACTTTGAGGTTACTGTAGTCGTCGTTGTGGGACCTTCGTCGATTTCTTTCGTACTAGTATACCAGAGATGTCCGGAATGACTTTTTTGAGAAACAGAATCCGGAATCCGGAATAAAATAATTTTCCCGGAATCCGGAATCCGGAAAAATAAAAATTTCACGGAATCCGGAATGAAACTAATTTTTCTCGGAATCCGGAATACGGAATCCGGAGTCCGGAATGAAAAAAAGCACGGAATCCGGAATCCGGACATCTCTGCAGTATACTATTCTTTCAAAGTAATTTTCCAGTTTAAAACTATCTAATGCTTGTATTGTACCATATTGGAACCAAGTAACGACAGACGACGTTACCCATTCAGACGAGTTTAAAAAATGGAGAGCGACGGGTTTTGGAGACACTGTGAGTTTTGTTTTTTTCAAAACGCTCTGAAATCAAAGAATGGGGTTTCAGAACAATTTGATTGATGCCGAATCTCGACTTCTTTCTGCATTCGTCTATCCTGAAGAGATATCCATTATCACTACGGCACTTTATACGTTTGGGTGAGAAAGAGAAGGTAGATGTTTATTTTTGTTTATATTTTAGAAAACCGGCAACATGCCGATACTACGATTGCAATAGAATTGAAATTCACTCTGCCAGATTCAAATCAGTGGTTTGGCCGTTATCAGTTATCACTTGTCCACGAAGACTTGGAATTGAGTATGTTAGCGTTAGCTTTGAAGATGAGGAAGAAGAAGATAATCAAGTGATAAGAGAACCAATTCCATTGGTTTTCAGGGCCTATGAAAGTAAGTGATTTTCTATGGATCGTTTATGAAAACAAGAAAACAAAAAGGAAGTTCCAGAACCAATTCATGAAATATCAGTTTGTGTTGGTCCTCTGTATGGAAACGAAAGTAAATGGCTGGAAACTATAGAATACGTGGAGCATTACAGACTTCTGGTTTGGAATCTGGTATAGAATTTCTAGTTAAAATGAAATAGGTTTCAGGGAGCCACATTCTTCTATTTCAATTTGTTCAACATGAATGATTATGATCGGAAAATCATAGATGATTATGAGCGATTGGGACTTGCAGAATCCACAAAATATGTTACGGAATATTTGAGAGTGGGATGGATGTCTCATCTTCTACAGACTCATGTGAGTTAATTATTTAATTGGAGAATAGTACTTCAATTAGAACTTTACCTCTATTTGAGCGTCACCCCTAATAAAACGGAAAGTTTTCGAAATCTCGTTCGAATCACTAAATTCGGCTCAGTGCGTTCTACGTCATTTTAGCATGTGGCCTAACTTTTGCAATTTGAGTTTTCTAAAGTTTTATTTGAACATGTATGGAAATAAAAGTAAATGGCTGGAAACTATAGAATATGTGGAACATTAAAAAATTCTGGTTTGTCGAGAATCTCCTAGAACACCGGCCAGGTAAATTTCCGGACATTTCAGGGTCAAAAAATTGGAAAAGTTAGGTCACCGTACTAAACGACAGTAAAACGGCCTAGATAACATACCAGATTTACCATGGTGACCTAGAAAACTCGCAAAAGTTAGGTCGCCATGTTACAATGAAAAGAAAAACACACCAGGTGAATATCAAGCCAATTCTCTGTTCTATAAAAGTTGATGGTCTAGAAAACCCAACTTTCGAAAACACACCAGTTGGCAACGGGGAATTGCACGCTGGACCTGTTCTGGACCATCAACTACATTGGCCTAGAAAAATCATGTTGAGAAAGTTAGGCCACACTACATGTAGAATGAAATTGAGGGTTTAGTTTTAATTTTCAGGAGTGTCATCATAGAAGTAAATTCCATTCGAAATGGGTCATCAACATGGATATAGATGAAAGATTGGTTTACACAGGACCGTTCAATCTGAAGCATTATTTGAAGTTTGTCTTATGTTTGTTTGGAGATTTTTGAGCTGAATTTCTTTCAGATCAATGCCTCCAAACATTGGAGAAATCAGTTTCTCAACGAATCGAGTTTTGAAAACCGAGAAAATCCCCGAGAAGTACACATCAGAAGCTAAACTTTTATCGGATATGATGTTTATAAAATACAACAAAACAACTGAAATCAGTTGGTACAATTTGAAGGGAGTCATTCGTCCCGAACTGGTTGCTTCTTTGTTTTTTCACTGGTCTTTTTTTCAATTTGAAGGAGTCAAAGTGATGTCTGTTCCTAAAAGATTCGGACATGTGAGGTCAGTTTCTTTTTTCATTGTGTTTATCTGAATATGATTGCTTTCAGGCATTATCGAAATGTTGATGGTTCTGCATTGAATGGAAATTGGATGGATTTTTATAATGGAACCCTTCGAGAAACTCGATTGGCTTCTTCTTTTGAGAAAAAACTAGCGAAAGCAGTGAGAAAAAGAGTGAAATATGTCTATGATCAGAGGATGATTCGATGTGAAGAAATTCCGAATTGGGTTACTGTACGATACAGAAGAGAACTTCTGGATTGTAAATTCAAGTATGAATAGTAATATATTAATATTCATTAATTAATAAACAGTACGGTGTCAGAATTTCAGAATCTCGAAATTTCTGGAATTCAAAATCCCAGAGTTACAGAATTTCAGAGTTTCAATACCTAAGAATCTCAGAATTTCAGAATTGCAAATTTTTAGAATTTCAGAATCTCAGACTTTCAGATTTTCCAAATCCCAGAACTTCAGAAACCCAGAAACTCGGAATCTCAGAATCTCAGACTTTCAGATTTTCCAAATCCCAGAACTTCAGAAACCCAGAAACTCGGAATCTCAGAATCTCAGAATCTCAAAATTTCAGAATCTTGGATTTTCAGACTTTCAGAATTACAAAAATCCCATCCCGAAATATCAAAAATTCAAAAGTCCAATTTCCCGGAATCACAATCTCAGAATTTCAGAAATTCAGAATTTCAGAATCTCACGAAGAGGTCAAAGTTTTTAGATAGTTCTGAACCTTTCTGAAAATAGTACAGAAGTATAACTTCATTTTGGGAGTGTTATTTGATTCACATTATTTTTTCTAATAAACAAATCATATTTTAATCCTTCTCTGTTTTGAGTGTTTCGTGGAAAAGTCAACAAAGAGTAAAAGAGGTTGCTCGAGTCAAAGGATAGTCCTTTGCGGTCGGGAGAAGAGTACTGATACACTAGACAACTTCAATGATTAACTTATTTATTTTAATGGTAAACTACTACAGATACAAGAAAGTTAAACGTTCCAAGACTATGTTAGAAATTACAAAAAATATTTTTCCATTGCACCACTAATACTTTTTGGTCGATTTTGTATCTAACCATGGTCATTGACTCATAATTCAAACTTTTTACATTTTGGACCGTATTTTTACCTATTTCACGTTCTCTTTAAATGTTCAGGTCAAAAACGATAATCGGTTTTTCCAATCTGTGATTCTCTGTTTTTGTTGAAGGTCATCAATCATGAAAATCGGGGTATCTGAAAATTCAATCTTTGATTTGATATTGAACACGGGCATTCCCGAGGTCGTACTAAAGGACAGCTGAAGAGGCGCATGTTGGCGAACGGGCCGTTGACAGACGAACCATTGGAATCCCTTTGGAAACCGACGGATTTTTGATTGGAAATCAGCTAGAAAACAATTATTCATGCTTCCGCTAGATTATAGAATGATGATAGAAGTTAATTCTCCTCATATCGGACCACCGCAAAAAAATAAAATTTTAAAGGCCTGCTAAATGACAGTCGAAGGGTGCTGAGGCTCCTTGGAGATCCAAAACATCTGTTAAACGTTGCATTGTGACCTGCTTGCAAAACTCAACTTCTCGAAAACTCGCGTATTTATCAAACTTTGATCACTCGAGGAAAAATTGAACTCATAGTTCTTAACAGTTGTTATCAGCTAGATTGACGGTGAATGAGAAGGATAGGTGGAAACAAAGAATTGGAACTTGGAAAGTTCGAGATGTGAATTCTCGGGGCAAGTACTGGACGGAGGTTGTTCAGATTAAATCGCCATCAAAGATGACTAAGCTTCAAACAAATTACGACAAGGTTCCGACCAAGTATTATTTCAAATTTCAACTTCCTACAAAAATCTGACCGTGTCCCGCCATACAGCCGTTTTTGGGCAAGCGGAGACCAGAATTTGGCCAATATGAAAGTCAAACATTCCTCAATTTCTGATCAGATGTTACAAATTGGTTCCTTGAAAATGTATGGTTCTTCGATTTTTCAATGCTCTGAATGTTCAGTATTCTAGAGATCGAGAAACCAGAAAACTATCTATTGTGCTTTCAACTTTCCCACACTTTTTTTTATTATAATAATTTTATTCAATCCTATTTTCAACTTCCTCGTTTCACTTGTTCAATTCCTGAATGTTTTTTGATTATTGTTCCAATCCAGAGCTTTTTGTGTATTCAGACGAAGAACGATCAAAGCTGGCGCTATTTAAACTGTCCACTAGCCACTGGAAGATTCAGAGAGAGCTCACTCGATCATTGCTCAATGCTCTCAAGTGTTGCACAGGAGTGCGAAACCACGTGATTCGTTTTTGTGTCCAGTCAAAGAACGACCGACTTCTTCTTCTTCTTGTCCAACTCCCTTCTCTTCTCCTTCTTTTCTCTCTAATTCTTGTCCTCAGTACTCTCTTTTTTCACCCAGACTACTTGTCACGTTCCGTCGCACTCGTTGCGTTTTTGACCGTATATAACAGACAGTCTCCTGTCAGTCGTTCTGCTTGATACTTACTCCATTCCATGGTTCTTTTTCTTCTTTCATTAAATTGACTGATTCCAGGTTTCAAACACTATAGTTTCAATTTAACAAATATGCTTCTACACACATTCTTTGACGATTCAAAATCTACAGTTGAGGAGACACCACGGATGTTTGTTGCAAGTGAGTTTAAGACTTATTTAAATGTTTCCTAAAACTCTCTACTCGTAATGTCTGGTATAGAATACTAAATTGAACTAATTCTTCCTTCATCATCCTTAATTTCCTGAATTCCCAAATAAAACTGTCCCATATAAGATGTTTCGATAAAAACACCGAAAATTGTTAGTGAAAGTTTAATATTTTCACTAAAATAAGATTTTAAGAAACACCGTAAACACTCTAATAGAACGGCATCCCCAACTTTCAACTTTGGCCCATTCTATTGACAAAATATTTCTGATATTATGATAAACAATTTGTTAGTCGACTACTTTTTGATATCTTTCACAAGAGCCGAGATATGTGAGCTCAAAGTTGATAGTTTACGGTATGTTATTTATTATGCCTCATCCTGTATTCATAGCATTTTTATTCCTATTTAGCATGAATTACAAAAACACAAATCAAGAGTACGGTATCTATAAACATAATACAACGATAATTTGAATTGCAAAACAGTCAGGTCAAATTTTCACACGAATTGACACTCGTTTGAGTAGTTCACTAGTGGTTGTTTGCTGTGGTTAATGCGATTACTATTGATATTTTTATTGTGTTATTGAACTTTTCGAAAAACGGTTTTTTTTTGAAAATTGTAAATATTCAGGACCCTGTGATCTGGAAAACATGAAAAATCAGCTTTCCGTCCATCGGACTTTTTTCTTTGGCCCACTATCTCATCGCGTGATTAGGTGCTCAGAAATCTCCGAACACATTTTTTTTCAAATTCTGGAAACGACAGTAATCTTTAGATGAATTATAACTCTAATTCTATAGATAGGCCTAATTCGAATATCCTGATTTGATTATTAACAAAAATCGCGGTGTTCTTTTCCGGAACGTTTTTCAAAAAACAATTTTTCTAAGATGGAGCTATGAATTTTGTCCAAAACAGCAGTTTTTTAAACCGAAAAGCACACTAAGCTTTTCATTAAATGCCCAGTCCCTTTTGCCTAAAATAGTTCTTTCTCTTTTCCCATTTTCGTTGATACCGATGTCTTTTTTTCTGTTATCATTATAACGGAAATTCTAGTTATTAAAGTCCGATTATATGACCCTTTCGACCAAATTTTAACGGCGAAAATACCGCATAAACAGTTCTTTTTAAGTCCTTGCCAAACAAAATGAAAACGGTCAAAAGTCATCGAAAAGGCGATCAAAAGGATGATAACTTTGATAACTGTAAGGCTATTAAAAGAAGAGAGTTTGTCGAGTAGTACGGTATTCTGATCATTCACCACGTGTTCTCCACATTTTTACCCAGAAAAGTGGGAGGGGAGGAATCTAAAAAGTCGTCTTTCAAAAGAGAATGAGAGCTTTTCGACATCGCCATCGGACATTTTGTCAACGACACGTCGCCTTGTCCCGTCGACTTCTTCTCCGTTTTCATTAGGCTACAGATAACGAAATAGTGTTCCAAATGAAGAGACACGGAAAGAAAAACCTGGGTGGCGGTAAGAGAGAAGGGGTCCCAAAGAGTCTTCACACCAGATGACGTCACGGATAGAGTACACCCAACACAGTCGGGTGGAAAATGATTACGTCGATGGAACCGGGGGTGCACAGTTGTCGATTGGGGAGGGACCCAATCATCTTGATAAAATAAAACTCTGACCCTGTTATTTCGTCTCTTTTCACCTGACAAACACGTTGCTTTCAACTGGTCGATGATTCAGTTTGTTGTTGATTGTGTCACCAGATTTCTTATAAGTTCTTCGTTTTTTTAAAATTATTTCAGCTTCTTGAGCTCCTGAACGCCACTGGAAGCAATTATTTAGTTAACTACTACAAGAAAGCATTTCCAAAGTTTTTGTTGATACCGTAATCAAACTTGGAATTATCATTTTTCAAAACTGATTAAAATATTAATCGAGGTAAAAATTTTCAGACTTTACACGAGTTTAATTTGCTAACGACTTCATAATTACTATAGCTCCGTATTTAAAGAGAAACTCCAACCAAAATTGTTTTATTTCATTGAAATTTTTAAAAAGTTATGCATTTTCATCATGTGAAAAAATTCGGAAAAAATATCCGAGAACGCCGTTTAAAAAGTTGGCAACCAGGGACAAAATTTTGAATTACCGCTCATAGTGGGAAACCTAGGCCATGGCGGAGAGACGCCTTTTTTACATGGATATTTTTCCGGATTTTACTCATTTTTTTCCTTCACTTTAAAAAAGGAAACGCCAACTTTGAGAGGTTGCAGCCAACGGCCGTGGCCTATATTTCTTATTTCTTATTTTCTTAAAATTATATTTCGCGCGGGAGCTCAAATTCTCGTCCCTATCCGCCACCTTTTTAGACAATATTTTCACTTTCGAGGGTGGTTTCTGGGCATTTCTAATTTTTTTTGAATTTTTCGCAACAGTATTAAGAAAAATTATAAATTTTCAAAATTTCAAACTCCTCAAATATTGGAACTTCTTGTCCCTCGCATCTCGGATATTTTTGATCTCTGCGATTTTTTGGTCGCTCTATTTTTCTCATCTTTCCCATCTGCCCAGAGTCCTTGAAAACGAATGTCCTTCTCCCAAACACGTGTCTTCCATTCTTTATTTTTCTCTCTCCCTGCCGAAAATCGCTCAAAAAATCGCCAAAAAACGAACAAATCGTACTGAGAGAGAATCTTTCAAAAAGATCTATCTCTTCTCCGTATTCCGTTGTATTTCTCTCTTCCGAAACCAATCGGACACATATTTTGTTTTGGGGTCGACCTTCTCTTCTTCTTTTTTCAAATCCTACCGTACCAATCTTTGATGTTCGCCTACATTTCGATGGACACGTGTTGGAGAGGAGAGAAATCAAAAAGATAAAAAGAATAACATTGGAAAAGACCACCTCCTCTCCAACAACCCACGATAACATAATCTAGGTACACATCGTGATTCTCATGTGAATTCCCCTACAGTAATGTTTTGGGCTTACCAGAGAAAATAAGCTTTTATTACAGTAACCCCAACATTCTAGAGTCTTCCATATGGAAACATTAAACAACAGTTACAGTATCCCTTTGCTTTATTCAAGTGAAAATAAGCAAAACGAGTTGTTGATGCCATCCATTCGACCCCATACACCCGCCCGCAAAAAAGTGCGCTCTCGTGATTTTGAAACGAGGAGAGAGTCGAATCGAAATCTATTTTCTGCAGAAAAAAAAACAAAAAGTTCAATACTCTCCAGGCCTGTTTTGTTTAAAAGAATTTGAAAAAGACAAGACGAATCATTTCTCTTCTTTTTTCGTTATTGAAAAGTACTTGATTGTCTAGACACTTTTATATTGATGTCATGGTGAAAATAGAAGCACATAATAACATGTGAATCATTTCGAAATAACTTCGAATTGAAACTCTTTCTAGAACAAAAGGCATCTAGGAATGCGTAACTGTTTCTATATATTCGAACAGACTACTGTACATAGTAACTCGTGTTTCTGAAATAATTGGTTCTGCAAATCTAGATGCACGCATGACTGGACTTTGTTGTCGAGGGCCGTATTTAACCGCCCATGTTTTATTAATTTTGTTCAGTGTAAAACTCAAAAAATTGTGTACCTAGCGCTAGATTTTCAAGGAATGGGGGAAAATGTGTGTTATATGCAGTACAATTCTATCTTAGCTAACGGTTTTTTTAAAATCAGACTCTACACAAAAATCAAATTTCCGCTTCATAATTTAACCAACCAGAACCAGAAGGGCTTTGTCTGATAAACTGTGTATTCTCTGAAGATTTCAATATTTTGTTTTGCTTGTTTTATCTTACTACATCATTTAGCTATTATTAACAGCCAGGCCCATTTTTAGAGATTCAAAAAAATAACGAATTCGAAATCCATTTGTCACTCTGTTTTGGAGATTTCGGAGATAGACACCCCCATTTTGTCTTATATCAAAGATCTATCTGTGTCTCTTCATCACTGATTCAACAAGGCTTTTTATAACCAAGTTGGGTTCAAACAGTGCTCATTTGTCTGTGTCTCATCTCTCTTCTCCGTCTTCTTCTTCTTTCTACATCTCTCGTCTCTCCAGTCTTTTTCTTCGGCGCCACGCCGATCGGTCGGCGGGCCAAGCACGTGCCCATTCTGCCCTTCTCGCTGGTCTGGCTGGTAACCTCCTATCATGTCCACAGGGAAGACCGTCTTTATGTGCTTTTTTTTCGTTCGCTTCTTATTTCCTACCTTTCTCTAAGCGTTTCCAACTCAGCTGTCAGAAATAAGAATCTTAATATGGGCCGACTGCTGCACTTTTGTTTTCCACGGTTTTGTTATTCTTTTTCGTCCCGTTTTTCTAACCGAAAATAGCCGTCGGCTCTTCTCGGACTCCTCCTTATTCGGTTTTCGTAGCCGAAAACTTGTTTACGCTCTCTTCTTCACATGAACATCTCCTGTTGCAAATTGTTTCATATATTTTCAGAACAAGACACAAAAAATTCTGCATATAATTGTTTTTTTTTTCATTTGATTGTAATAATTGATTTCTGAAAAGCGTCATCCCATCCCATCTGCAGTTGTTATTCTATTGCTTAAAACACTTGAGAATTTTAAATAGGCGCCATTTGAAAATATGCAACAGCGCCCAGTGGGCAGCTTCTCTCTCGCCCCTCCACTTTCTCAATGCTCTCTCTTGGGTGGCGCCGCTGCTCTTCTTTTTCCCGTCCCCACTTTTTTGCCTCATTTTTCATCTTTCTCGGTGGCTCGTTTTTACGATCTGCTGTTTTTATGCACAGCTTTAAAAGTGCAAACTTGTAGATATGAAAAATTCAATAAAATCTTTTTTTTCAGGACTGTTCGGTAGCCCAGTATCGACGTCCGTCATACCATTTGAAAAAGAAAACAATAACAACAACCAAGAAACTGCAAAAATGCCGCTCGACCCTATGGATTCGTTGTGGTGAGTCTTTGGGAAACATCTCTGAAACGCGGTGTTCGCTCATCTCGACGACTCAATGACTAGATCAGTGATTGACGAAAACAAGATTATTAAGCTGTGAAGATGCTAAAAATAGTGGCTTGTTTATTAACATGCGAGCTTCTTCGAAAAGAGATATCGAGAATAGCGCATGTGTTGTAAACACCGTGCAACACATGACAAGGAGTGGGGACCAGCTCCTGCAGAAAAAATAGTAAAATAGTGCAGAGAAACACGTGGCTGTTTCTTCAGAGAAGAAACTTCTAGGTCTCAAAGCAAACGTCGTTCATAAGCAGAATGAAACTAGGGACATATGTTGTATGTAGAAGCATTGAGAACTTCCCATTCCAGTAGGCATCGGGCTAGTCCTTGGTATCCAGTAAAGTTTTGAAAACCAGAAGGGTGTTTACCAGAACGTATGCTAAGTATTTTTTGAGAAAATAAAATTTTTTAATAGCAACAAAAAAAAAGAAGTTGATTGGCAGATAAGCGAAAAAGCTATGTTTGTTCCAAGCTTCTCCTGTAAACATGAAATCATAAACCGCGATTGATAAACAATGTCTGAAATTTACTCGTTTTTATTGGGATCTTGAAACTGTAAACATGTTAAACACATGACCTTTCTCCTCTGTAAGTATCTCTTTGTTCCCATACAACTCATCACCGCTCCACCAGTGGACCGAAGACCGCCAGTATGGGCACTGACATGTTTACGCCTAGGGGCGCGCGACGCCATGGCGCATGTGCAAATTCACGTGGTCAAATGCAATTGTTTGTGTCTCAGCTTCGTTTCTCTCTCTCTCTCTCTCCTTAAAAACAAGTCGGTTACGATAGGCATAGTGTGCACTAAGACGCAGAGATGTCGGACGACGGGCCGGGTATAAATAGGCCTGGGGGTGGGTCCCAATTCAAACTATTCCTTACTGCCGACTACACTCAGCACACGAATCTATATTTCAGGATGTCCAAGGCTCCACAAGTAAGTGATCTTGTCGTTCAACCGAATGTCACCTTCAAAGCGGTGACTGGAGGTTCAGCTCACTCCACCAGTTCCAGCATTCCTATTGCTGGAGGTGAAGACCCAGTAAGTAGCTTAGGTGTCCGGAATAGATCCCTCACTGATTCCATGTATTTTCTCATTTTCTCCCTTTTTTCAGATTCGCCCAGACTTCGACACTGACTGTCTCTGGAAGCCACCAACTCGCTCGGGACGTGTCCAAAAAGAGAGAACCATTTCGATGGATTCAACTGACTCAGAAGTCGGTGCACTGGGAGGACGCAAGTTCTCAACAAATGAGGGCTCCAGGTTGGGGTACTTTTTGTTTCATCCCCATCTTTAAAAGGATCATTTACTTTTAGCCCAGTTCCAACTTCACCAATCGAGGCCCAGCCACGCGCTCGTCGCATGTCCATTTCTGAGATGCTGTTTGGATCCTCACCAAAGAGCTTCTCTTGGGGAATGGACTCGAACAATACCACCACCACTACCACTACCACTGCTGGAGGTGCTGATATCGGAGAGCGAAAGATGTCGATCACTGATGTAAGGATTACTGTAGAAGACAAATACTTGATAGGGTGATAACAACATTCAAAAACAAATAGTACTCGAGTGAAGATCATGAATGATAAGAGGAAAACAAAGATCACAGTTATTATGATTACAGGATCCACGCTTCAAGGACTTCATGAAGCATCAGAGCAAAATCATCGGTGATGATGGAATCTCGTCCGCTGGCTTCAAGAGAAGCAACTACATGAAAGACTAAATCCTCTTTCATCGATCTTCAGGCCGTAACCTCAAAACAAATGAGAGCGTCCATTTCAGGATGTAATAATTTATGTTGACTTCTTTCTTTTTTTTTTTGATTTTCTCGTTTCATTCTTCTAAAATCTTGACCATATTTCCTCCTAATACCATTTCTTTATTCTGCATCCCCCATCGGTTGTGGAGTCTGATTATCAATTTCCTCTTTGATGTTTTTTTTGTTATGTTTTCTCTCTCTCTCTCTAGAACTCCCCGTTCTCTGTAAATATGCCAACTTCGGCCCAGTCGTGCAGTTCTCTTGGATCTGCAATCGTTGTCAACTAGAGTAGCTCACGCTTTTCACATACTGGTTCCCAAAAAAATATGGATTGTACATATAATTGCCCATTTCCCTCAAAAACAAGGTTCTTTTCTTCTTTTTTTTCCTTCAAATTCCCTTCACTCCCCCGTCCATCATTTCCCGATTCCAGACTGTGTAGCTTGTGAACCCCATGGTTTCGCAGTTTACCAAATCTCCTGTTCAATTTCGTTATGATGCTATGTAAATAAAAAATACAAAAGGGAATTCATTGGTTCAATTGGTTTTTTGAGATCTAAAAAATTTTAATCGATCAATGGGAGAAGAAAGGCAGGATTGAAAGCAGCTCGGGATGAATTAATGATGAGGAGAAGTGTCGATGAGATCGTACTTTTATTTACATCCATTGGATTCTGAAAATAGAAACTGGTGTCATGGTGTGTGGACAGTCAAAACACAATAACTATTTTTGACAATTGAGGTGTAATGTTTTTGGAATGAGCGACGGGAGACGACGCCTACGGGGAAAAAGGAAAAGCAGTAAACAAGCAACGAACAGAAATATAGGATTAGCGAAAATAGAGGTATCTGGTCTTTGAGAAATTAGAATTCTCAAGACATGGAGTCCTTACATTGAAGTCAATCTTTTGGCTTTCAAAACAATCTGTTATTGTACTCTGTCCTGAAAACTGGTCCAGATATTTTTCTCCGTCCGGACACAGTACAAAGTCCTATTATGGAAAACAAAAAGTTACGACAAAGTTTTTTTTTCTGTTTTTTGATATTTCTCTCTGTCAACAGAAAAAAGACATTTCTGGAAACTAGATCAAAGATTACGTGGCTTGCTTCGAATTGGATAAAAGCAGAAAGGGAGAGAGAGAGTCGTAACTTTGAATGCTTCCGAAAAAAATGGGAAAAGAAAGAATTTTGGGAGCCCATGAATTCAGTATTCTTCGGTGGGGAACTGGAAAAAAGCAAGATTCATCATACCGTAAAACCTGAAGTATTAGGGCCCTTCTAGAGAGGTCTAAAGAAATAGAAGGCCTCTCTAATAGAAGGGCCTGCTTCAATGTGTAATGCTTGAACTCAAATTTTTTTTTACTTTTTCAGTGAAAAATATTCCGCAGATTCTCAAATTTCGCAGAAATTTGTTGAAAAACTCTTTTTGCGTTAGAGAAACTTGCTCAATGTTTGGTAAAATCGGCAAATTTTCATGAGTTCTGAACGAGAATTCCCTAAATTTTTCGACCAAATTTTTCGAAAAAAAAGGGCGGAACAATAGAATGGCCTCTGTAATAAGCCCCTCCGAAAATCCCTGGAACAATAGAAGGGTCGGATCTTCGAATGCAGGTTTTACGGTATTCAATTTGAATAAATGGACTGAACTTAATGAAGAATTTCTGATGGGTCCCATCTCAAATTTATTTTTAGCAAAAAAAAACTGCTCTACGAAAAACTACATTTTTTCCTGCTTTCATATTCAAGTGTAGAAGACCTGCAGTAACCAGATCATTACTATAGAACGCGCGTCTAGTACGTCATCTGTCCTCTGTTGTTTTATGTTATCAATTCTAGTCCAATAACAAAAAAGAAAAAATACCCGATAACTTACCTAATATACATTCTCTGATTATATGGGTTCAGTCTCAAAATATACTCCTTTTTGCTGCTCGAAGAAGTCCCGTACATACACAGCAAGTCATTCCAGTGGCAGTTAACATACATGTCATTTCATCAGTTTCAAAATCGGAACAGTCCATTAGATCCACATGATCACATTGTCCTTAATTGGAAAAATAGGCGTATTCTGTGGAATAACAGCTTACCTGACTCAACTACAACATTTCCAATATGCCTACGTGCTCGTGCTTTGCCAATAAATCGAACATTTCGCTTTTTGGGGTGAGGAGACAACGTCTTCGATTCATTTATAATAATTTCGGGTTGGGTTGGAACTTCAGGAGTACGATCGTCGAGGTGTGATGGTGCATGGGATCTGAAAAAAAAGTACAAATGAGAACATTTTGTAAACATGGTCTCTAGATGGTTTCTCGGAAAACAGTGATTCATAATAAAGTGTGTGTTAGCTATAAACAGAAAAGTTCTGATGTTTGCAAACTGGAACTTTATGGAAAACCGAAAATAAAGGCATCTCAATTAATGTAGATGCCATATATATGAAGTGTCCCACACACCGTCAATTTGCAGATAATTTATCTCGGTTACTGTAAAAGATATCAAAAATGTGACAAGTGACAAAACACTTTTGATTTAATGATAAACAATTTATTAGTTGACAAAAATTTTGTATCTTTGACAGGAACCGAGAAAAATTGGCTCAAAGTTAGTGTCCTTTCAAAAAGCAAGACGGACAGTTCACAGGGCAGCAGAAATCACAAGAAAAAACTTACGGATGGGAAGAGTGCCTGACAATATCTCGGAGAGTTCGTATCGTATCTGGTCTTCCCTGAACCAACATTGTTCCTATGGCATCAGCAAAAGCACATGTGGTGAGCACAATGAGTATACGTCTCATGGTTTCTGAAATCAATCTGAGATGTGTGATTGCACTGAGAACAGAAAAAAACAACGAAGAAGTAGCAGAAGCTGGATTTGTGATCGAAGAAGGGAGGAGACCGAACGGTTGAACCTGAACTACACAGAGCCGAATCGAAAGAGCACGCGACGATCGGAGAGGCCCGGGGGGGAGCTCCACGCTTTTCCGGGGGGAGACGGTCTCTCTCGATGGATGATGCGGAGTGATGTGATGCTCAGGAGAAAAAACCCGCTTGTTCTGCTGCACAGGAACAACTTTGTTCCCGAAGACAAATTAGTCAGCTGATGGATTTTGTTGTTATAGGCATCGCGCCAACGCAAATATGGGAAGAAGAACACCAGCTTCTTGCCCGATTCGGCAAGTTTTTTTTTCTGAAGGGTCTAGTGGCGATTAGTCGGATTGGCCATCACGTGAAACCGAGACGGAAACTGATCTGATAATGGGAGAGAAATTGGTGTATCCACCACCGTAAAAGCTGTAATATAATGGATTCCTAATATTTAATATCGGGACAATTTGTCTCGATTCCTGTGAAAGGTATAAAAAAGTATCAATTGTTTATCATAATATCCGCAGTTTTTTGTCAGTTAACACCTTTTTATACCTTTCATAGGAACCGAGATAATTGAACTCAAACTTGACAGTGTGGGGGCCCTTCTATTACAGGTTTTACAGTATGTTAACGGCTCTAAAAAGCTTAAGCTCCCAGAAAAATTCTTATTAGTGGTAACCTCGGTTATGCTAACTTTCAAGAACAACAAGTTTTTGAACTTGTGCAAACAGCCCCAGGCACACAAAATAATACAACAGATACGACAATACAAATGAAAACAATGTGAAAGTTTGTCCATGAACATTGATTTTAGGGTATTGAGCTAGTGGGAAAGTATAGAAACGTACTAGGATCGAAAGAAATTAAAACTTAAAGTTTTTATGATACAGAAAAACTGGGTTAAAATGAAATCTAGCTCAAATGAGTCTAGTAAAATGATATGTTTATCTATTTGTTCCATGACCAGTCTCAGGTCTAACGCCTTGAAACTTTGAGGATTCAGAAATAGAATAATGCTGAAACATGCACTTTAGCTTTCTACTCTTTATCGCAAGTTCAAACACAAATAAACTTAAAACCAACGAACTAGTTTCTATCGAACTTTTCCAGTAACTATGGCTTTTTTCCGTATGCTATATGTGCTCTCACTCTCTTCCGTACATGGTTCTGCGCGGGTGGGATGGATACACGGAAGACAATATTTGTTTTTCGGAACAAAACACTTCTTCTCCTTTTAAGGAACTGATTTGTTTTTGATATAGTTTTGACAGTTTTTTGAGAAACATTGAAGAGTTCGAAACAGCGGAAAGGCAAGAAAATGAGAGCACAGAGCGAAATGCAACGTTCTCAAAGTTTTCTATCAATTTATACCCATGACCACCGGTTTCAGACCCTCTAGAACCATCCTAATATGCCTGGATCCTCTCCAGTTCTACACTATTTCATGGAATGGTTTACGTGGAAAGTGGGCGGAGCCCCGTTCAGAAACACACGGAAAACCGAACCCGAAACGTGATGATACTGAACAAGAGCACACAAACCATGAGCAGGTTGCCTGGAGGAAGCTTCCGCGTAAAATTCGAAAGCATAATGGAAACGGAAGAGAGATCGGAGACAATCAGGTGGAAAACCCAGAACATAAAAAGGTGTTGATCATGCAGATTTAAACAGAGACAAAAAAACAGAATCGTATTGGGATACTTTATGTTTTAGGGTTTGAAGAGGGAAGTTTCAAACCTAAACCGCTGCAACCTAAACCCATGGGTATGGAATGCATAGAATATATAGTAGATTTTATAGATCTCCTACTTGATTCATTCTGTGAAAATATAATAGAACTGAAATAAAACTTTCTTCGTTCACCTTCTCGACTTTGATAACTTCTGCGAAGACAATAAGAGAGGCTTATCCGTAAATGAATTAACCTTACTGGAGGAGTGGATGGGTCTGTGACGCAATGAACATGTAAAAAGAACGTCATCTGAAGACATGATATTCAAAATTTAGAGAAAAACGGGAATCATAGTCAGGAAAATGTATGATCAAACTGCCAGTATCCGAGATAAGCTTGTTAAATTTGGAAGCACTTCATAAAGTTTGACTTTCTTTTGATTTAATTGTGAATAACTTTTTTTGATGTATCTCACTACATTTGTTAATCTACATTTTTTGGTTCCGATAACTGGGAGGAGCGGTGGGGTAAATCTTTTTTTTTTGGAAAAGTACTCATTTTCGAAAAGGACCTCACAGAAGGTATCGCAGCAGTTTCAGTTTCAGTTCAAGTAGAATTTCGACATTTCAAATTTTATCCAAGGTTCTCTTTTCTTTCTATCAATTCGTAGTTCAACAGCACTTTTATATTTTTCTGTTCACTTATTAGACACATGCGCATGTTTTATGTGTTTTAATGATTCCTGTTATTTTATTAAACCAATCCATTGATTTTTTTACCACCTGGAAATCAAAAGGCTGTGTACAAATTACAGCGAGAGCTAATTTAATGCCCTTTTCCCTAATCGTCGAATTCCCTTTTTGCTCATAACTTTTGGTCGGAAGTTGAGAAGGATTCAGATTTCGGAAGTGTTTTGGCCAGGTTTAGAACTGTTTTGGCCAGGTTTAGAACCCAAAACGGATGAATAGCGAACCATAATCAGGTTCGGGTCGGAAGTTGCCGGCGAAGCCGAGAGCTGTAAAAATATTATAAAAATGCTTAACTGACAAAATATTTTTGATATGCTGAAGAATATTCACCAGTTAAATACTTTTTGAAACCTTTCACAGGAACAGAGATAAATCGGCTCAAAGTTGACGGTGAGGGGAGGACCTCACGGTAATTAAAAAGAAGAAAGTTCTAACGGAAAAAAGAAGAAAGTTCTAACTTTTTGGAACAATTAGTGACTCGACTCTTTCATAAAATTTTTGTAAAATGAAAGTCAAACTTTCCAGATTTCTTGATTCGGCTGAATCGCATTATAACAGAGGGGTAAAATTTTTCTATAAACCTAAAGAGTTGATTCGAAACATAGTTAAAGTCGTATTTTCCCTTTTTATGTTGTCGCAGCCTTTAGTTTTTATCTACAAATTTGATTGTTTTTTCTTCTGTTGCTATTGTTGTTTTCTGCTTCATGCATCAAAAACTTCCCAGTAAGTCGTGCTGATCCAAAATGACGTTCATTTATTTGCACAACCAAATCATCATTCTCTGTTAGCGCAAACATTTTCTCTTGTTTCCGGGGACACACGCCACTACTGTCGAGCAATCAGTCGCTGAGATGGAGGACATCCATGATCGAATTTACACGTTTTGCACGGAAATCCTCTGAGAAGTGCCGCCGATTCAATGATCATGGCAGAAGAAGGAAAGCTCAATGAGCTCAACCGAGAGCCGACCGGGAAGACCCTTTTCTCATTAGTCTTGCACCAGAGAAACAGAAAACCGTACTCTCAACTTCTTCTCAACACAGTATCGAGTTTCTTGTTCATCTTTCGTTAATTGGTTCACCTTTACCCCAGTAGTAAACATTCCGAATTTCGTTCAACTATATTTGATCACGCTCCTTCAGTGTTTCGACCACTCCTTACTTATTTTGGACACTTTACACCTACAAAATGATTTTATTCCTCCCAATATGGTTTCTATATCTCCTGAAGCTTATATCAGCATCTGTTTCATCTGGATCATGCCAAGATAAAAGTCCATACTGTAATCCAAATGATTGTAATGTTCGACCTGGATATGCAATGGTATACTGTAGAAAAACATGTGGAAATTGTATTGGTAGGAATCGAGAAGATATTGCTAATCTGTACTTATAAGAATTTAGAGTTTTGCGAAGATTCGAAATTCATCACGTGCAGTTCCGAAAGGAAGAAAGACTGTGATGATATGCTGTCCGATTATTGCCCGAAACTTTGCGGAAAATGCTACTCAAAAGTGAAATCTGACATGAAACGAATAAGTGAGTCTTAAAAGTTTTATAATCGTGCAGTGAGAAAATTTCAGAAACGATTCCGGTCACTCAATTTTTCAAAAATCCTGCGACTACTTCAACGACAACAACTACTCGAAGCCCATCTGTGAGTTTCCGACCATTTTTTCTCCAACTACATATCTTCGTAGACTCAAGATAAATCTTGGTTCATAGCTAAATCTTAGGCCAGTGGTTACATTTTAATGAAGTATAACAGGGGCTCCGGCTAAAAAATTTTATGGCTTAAAATGTTTGAAAAGTTATTACGAAAAAATTCAAAAAAAAATCCGACAGCTTTTTGCAATAATATTATGAAAATTGATATTTTTAATATTTTAATGCAATAATAAATTTTGGTCGAAGTCATTCTCAAACTTATACGGTATATAAGTTATACCAACTGTAAAATTGTCCCTCAGATCCGCCTAAAACAACCGCGAATGCTCCCAAACGGAACTTTCATAAGCCCACCACTACCAAAATATGAGAAGCTGGATGACACAACATTCACGATTCCCGAACATCCAACTGTCATCGAGTATCCAATGGCTCATATGGAAGAACTAATCCCGGAGCCTCAAAGAATCTGGCCAGAACCAGAACCTATGAGAATCCAACCAATTAGTGTGTACAGCCCATATGCTTTTGTTCCCTTACAACATCATACTCCACAGCACTAGTGAGTCTAAGAATTCTTTTATTTGACAACAACATAGCTTTCAGTAACCCGTGGTCCCAACAACTTGGACTCACTTCGTCTCTAGATACTTCTCGGCGTGCTCCTCAAAACTATTACTCTTCATACAATCAATATCCACAGTATCCGGATGAAAAGATCAATTCAATCACACCTTCCAATCCTCCAGCATCCTCTAGCTTTGAGAATCCAATGCAGTTAGTTGAACCATTCTTGGCTCCAGGCCAACCAGATCTCAATCCAAAATCAGTGTCTTCTCTGATAAACCTTCTGGGATGTAAAGATAAAGATGAAATTATTTGCAAGCATGTCACAGCTGACACTTGTCTCTCTCGGCCTGGATATTATCTTAAATTGTGTCCAGTTACTTGCAAAAACTGCAGCGGTATGTTCAATTTTAGCTAAAGTTAGTGAAAATTTAGCTAAAGTTAGTGAATTCCAGGGTACCAATGCATCGATTCCATCAAAATTGATTGCGCAGAAGTGAAGGCTCAAGGGGCTTGTAAGCTTTCAGTAGCAAGTGAATACTGTCCAAGAACGTGTGAATATTGTAATCCGCCAAGTGAGATGGCTCAGAGTATGTCAGACTGCAAAGATGAATTGGATACATGTGAGCAATTGGCCGAGAGTGGAGCTTGCCAACATGATTTTAGGTGAGATGAGTTTTGAAAAACTATACTATACTTTTAATTTTAATTCAAATTTGAATTTAAACTAATCTCTGAATTCCAGCAAATCTGCTCTTCGTCTATACTGTGCCAAAAGTTGTGGGTTCTGCAAAATTCCTCAATTCTACTTTTCTGATTCTCCTCTTATGGCTTCCGTGGTTTCAACACGAAAACTTTTGAAAAACTCGATGAACCGGAGGGATCGATTCTTGGGATAATCACTCAGCGACAGAAATTCAAAATATAGATCTCTTTATAACTTATTCGTATTATATTTTCTGTTATTTTCGAATAAAACAAAAATATAGAACTGAACACAAAAACATGACATAGAAAAAATGAAAACTAACCGGGAGGGAATGTGTGGGCGGGACTTACAATCAGTGTATCACATAAGAGATAAAAATAAATGGAAAATAGAATAATAGTCATGGAGTAAAAATAATGGAAGCATGGAAAAATACAGATGAGTGTGCAAAATATACAGAATAATTAGGATGAGACACATCCATTCATTTGTCGGATTTCCTCTGGAAATCGAAGAGTCCTTTTCCAAAAAGAGCACGACGGAAGTGATCAGCTACCGATAAAGATGTATCTGAAATTAGAACTTTAGTGATCTGGATTTTGATGTCTAGTTTATTTTTAATGGAAATTATCTTCTAGATTCAAATGTTCTCACACCGGCTGCAAATACGTAATCTCTGATCAAAGTACAAAATGAATTGGTTTTGGAAACGACGTTACAGTATCCCATATCATCATTTTGTTGTCGAGGGTAATTTTGAACTGGTTCATTGATCTTCATACTACTTCTTATCATTTAGGACAGTTGTTCAACAAACTACTTACCGGTACAATGATTATTGACGATGATCGTCTGTGCTGGTGGTGGATTCGGTGGAGTTGGAGATACAGAATGAACAGAAAGTGATGATACAGAAGTATGAGTGTTGAATGATGGGCGACGACGAAGTGGGGAGCTTCGAGCCTCTTCTGAATTCACTTTGCATCGTTTTGGCCACTTTCCGGATAACGATCGACGGAAGTGATTGGCCACTTCTTCTTGTGTAGATGATGCTGACGACGAAACAGATGACATGGATCGACGAACGGATGTATGTGGTTTAGAGATGTGATGGTCAATGATCACTGATGGTCTCAATGGAACAAATGAGGAAGAAGTTGGAGAATCCAACGAGGCAGGCTTGAAAGTCAAATCGAGAGGCCCACTTTCTTCAGTTGTGGATATGCTGATTCTATCGGATTCCTCGGATGTCATTGTTTGATCCAGCTTCTCTTCCTCTTCTTTATCATTCAATGATACTAGATTAGTGGTGTCTGTAAGACCAACAACGTCTATATCTGGATCTTCTGGTGCCTGAAAATAAATACTATTTAGACTTATCATATCTCAAATGTTACCTGAGCCGCTGCGGTCATATTGTGAAGTAATAGTAGTTGATGTGCATTGTGTGGATGGAACGTGGTTGTTGGTGTGTAGGGTGGTGGTGGTGCTTGAAGATAACTGGCAGCTAATGAATAGATATCTGAAATGTATTCTTCCAGAATTTACTCCATGAATCTCAAAAACCCACCGTGCATCTGATGACTTGAAAATGAGGAAGATGGTGTCACGAAGTTCGTAATCGGGGATGGAAGCATCCGAGAACTGGACGAGTCGATCGACCGTGACATGTCGGCACTGAAAACGAGAAGAAGTTGAAAAATGGGAGAGAAGGTAGAAGGGGGAGGGGCTAGTAGTCGTCGTCGTCACGCAATATACTCAAAATTATAGGGTTAGAGACAACAAAAGAGCTCTGGGAGCCACGGACGAATGGAACCACACCACATATCGAAGCGCCGTTAGATTTTATAGTCTTTTCACTTCACTTGAAGGACACTTTTTTTTATAATTTGAACGTTTTTTGGTTGCGTGTGCAAGAGTATGAGAACAAAATTGGTTTGGGAGAGGAGAGAGACATGGGAACGATGTGTAAATTTGGGGTTAGACTACTGTAGTTGGTTTTGAAGAGACAGTCGTTGAAATATAAGATTTAGAACAGGTGAACTTCGAGAATGAGGAGAAATCAGCGAGCGGATAATTTCAAACGAGATAGAAAAGGACTAACTTTGAGCCAATTTATCTAGGTTCATGTAAAAGATGCCAAAAAGCTGTAAGCTGATAAAATGTTTATCATAATATCCCAAACATTTTATCAGAGAATTTATTTTTGATATCTTTCATGGCAACCGAGATAATTGAGCTCAAAAAAGGAATTTTTCAGAAAACTGTTCACAAGATTCAAAGAATTGGTTAGATTTCTTCAGGCGCCACAGTGTCTAGAAGACACGGCGACCTCCTAAACGGCAAAATCAAAAAAAATTTGAAAGTGAAATTCCAAAAAGTTTGACTTATCAAAAAACGAATGAACTTCTCTACTTCTAGAAACTCCTTTTATACTGCCAACGAGACCACTCTTCTCGTTCTTCTTTCTCATATCCGTTTCCCTTGACAATTTTTTGGAATGTCGATCATTATATTGTCTCCACCCCTACTCCATTAGTCCCCACTTCTTCTATCTTATCAGTTAAATTATGATGGTTTCGGTGTCACTCGGACTATAACAACTTCCTATAAATCAATCTTCTTAACGACTTTTGCCGTCGATACACCGAACCAAAAAAAACTTCTTCTGGGATTTTGAAGAAAAGAAGGAGGCAGAAGAACAAGAGAGATTCCTTTCTCTTTTTTGTTGAGAATTTATTTGGAGGAATCATTCAAAAAATTTCTATCGACGTTATCAACCGGTCTTTTAGAAAGAAAAAAAAGAAGAAGACGAGCTGAGCGGAGAGGAAGAATTAAGAATTCCTTGGTTATCAACACACACGAGATATATGGAATGAAAGGATTCTGGAGGAAAAAAAGGAATCGGGAGAAAGGAGGAGAAGAAAGATAGGGCAAAGTCTAGGACACGAATATGTTTACAGCCAGATTGTTGTATTCAGTTGAAAAAATGAAACATAAGAATGATTGGATAAACGAATAGAGGATGCAGAATCTACTAAAAAAGGAGAAGGAGGACGAGTGATAAGAAGAAGAAGAAGAAGAAGACGTGCTAATGCAGAAGATGTCATTTATAGGTGGACATTCAGAGAATTCGATTTTACACTATCTGGAGGAATTCTGTGACGTTCTGGTGATTCTCAAGATGTTAATTTTAGGGTAACGATAAGTTTTCAGAATGAAAAATATCTTGTGAAGCATGCAGTTCTCGAGTAAAGAGGATTTGAGATTGTGAAATCGTAGAAAGTTTCGTTTTTTAACTGTTCGAGGTTAAAAAATCAAACAACTCGGAGAGGATGATTTTCTAGGAATCCTAAAGATCTGAGGCCATATTCATGAACATTTTCCTTAGAAAATACCAACCGGACAAAAAACGGACGAAAGGTTGATCAACAACTATTGGAGCCAAAATTCGTGAAAGATGGTAAAAAAACGACAACGACATCTACAGTAACCCAAAAACAGTTTCATTTTAAGGATTTTTTTCTTGATTTCCGAGAAAACTGGTTTACAGAATCAACTTTTTTTTCTTGTTTTTTTCTTTAATGTTGTTAAATGAATGAGAAGAAACAAAAAATCTGAAGGTGTCGTAAAATGGTAATAAATAAAACTTTCTGATACCAGCGAAAAGAGTTAAGGATTTGCAGGCTGAAAGATTTCTTGTGTTTTCAATTCTTATGAGATTTGATTCCTATTTGCAAAGAGAGTCTTCTTCTTCTTTAAAAAAACAATTAGAATGCATGCCTCTAAAAGTAGTTTTGGCATTCAGCTGATATGATAACAGGAGAGGGCACATCACAACAAGAGAAAGGTCTAGATGGGCAAAGAAAAATACGAACGACGAGAATTCTGGTGGACGACGTCGAAGGCCGAAGGCTAAGCAAAGTTGACCAATTAGTCGCATCCGCTACGAAAAGAGGGAAAAAGGGAAAAGAAAAGATAAAACGAATCGATCTGAAACTAGAAACCCCGAAGGAAGAATAGAAGAAAAGAAAGAAAGAAGAAGGAAAAGGAATAGAAATTCGGAAAATTCGAAAAATGATGGTCTTCTTCTCTCATATCTATGCCTTTTCCTTCTTCCTCTTCTTCCTCTATTTCTTCTTCCACAGACTGTCTGTTTCTTATTCTTCTTTTTCTGTATGATGATGCTGCGCCCCGCGCGGGAATCAAAGAAAGAGAGCGCAGCAACGAGAAAACATGGACAAACAGAAAACCGAGAGAAGAAGAAAGTGGGTTTTCCTTTTCACTGGGATACTACACGTACCATTTTTTCATCGGTGTCACTGCTTCCCAACATGGTTTCTTCCAAGAGATATCCAATGGAGCCACAGTGGTCGCATTGCAGAGGAACATTTCTGATGCTTCTTCAAGTCGCAAATGACAATCAGATGGGGGGACTAAAAGCGAGGGAGGGGACAAGCGGACCTCAGCCCCACGGGGAGAGAGAGGGCGATTTTCAAATTCTTCGCATTCTTGCCGCTCTCTCCGATCGTAATGTTATTTGCACGTTTTCTCAGTGATTGAGAGAGAATGAAGAAAGGACAGAGAGACACGAGAGAAGGGGTTTCGAACCCGAGAAATGGGAGCACAGATCTTAAAGAGAGAGCACACTCAAACAGTACGGAAACAGTAGTCAATCTCTCAGACTATTATTGGTTTTCCATTTGGAACTGTTACTTTGGAAAGAAAACTTTTTTGTTTGGGGTGAGACACCATTTAAACATTCGGAATGTACTTTGTATCAAAAAAGTGTTAGTTTCAATCAAACATGGTTCTTTTGTATACAGACCAAAAAAAGGTAGGTGGTGTCTGGAAGTCTGTAGTTGGAAAATGGAAGAAAGAAGGAATTTGGTTGATTGTAGGCGGTTCAGTAAGGGTTTCACATGTCTTTGAAATCTATAAATCAATTGTTACAATAAAGCAACTTCCTTAACAAACTTTTAATTTTCAGGTATTCATTTTGAAATTCAAATAACTTTTCTCAATTATCTCAAAATCTAATAGAGATCTTTAAAAAATGTCTAACGATAAAATGTTGGAGATGTTATGACATACATGTTATCAATTTACAAGTTTTAGTTATCTCTTTTAGGAAGAGAGATAGTTGAGCTCAAAGTTGACGGTTTGGGTAGCGAATTGTAAAAGTTTGACCAGCGAGCTTTTAGTAACGAAAAATTAAACTAAATGTTTTTTTTTCAACGATAAAAGTTTTTAGGAATAAATGGATATTACAATTTTTTAAATTTTCAGATATTTTGCGAGAGATAGAAGTTTCAGACGCTCTTCTTTATAGCAGCATTCTAGAGCAAAGGAAAAGTTCCGCATTTCCAATAAAGCAAGAAAACAGAAAGCAAAGAATTGAAATTCACTGAATTCCACAATTTTTATGACTTTCTCAACAGGGACAAACTCCAAACGAGTTGAGGAAGAAAATTGTTGCAGCTGAAAAGTTAGCAGAATCTGACTAATCCAGAGATCCAACGTACCATAAACACTCTAATATGTAGAATCCTACTCGTGGACTGTAGCTTAATTATCTCAATTTCCATAAGAGATAACAAAAATCTGTCAACGGAAAAAAATGTTTGTCATAATATCACCAACATTTTATCCGTTGACAACTTTTTCACATCTCTCATAGAAATTGGTATAATCGAGCTCAAAGCGCAAGTTGAGTGTTAACGGTATATGTTCAACCATGAACCATTAAAAGCCAATTCAGAAAATTTCGGATCTAAGATGAAGAACAAATCAAGAAATTCCAAGATCTGAGACTCGGAATTAGGAACTTGGGAATATCTGAAAATGCACCTGTTTTGTTTCTGAAGAATTCAACAACACCATCCCATTGACGCAAATCAAGACTGAAAATTCATCACTTTCTATTTAACATTCTGAAAAATTATTTTTCTGGAATTTCAGATATCCAATGAATCTGATTTTTTTTCAATCACATCATGTTGTTCCAACTATTTTCATTCCTCTTGAATCACAAGAAATTCCAGATTGTTTAGCTGGCATTTTCAAAAAGTGATAAAACATTTTTCACTCGAAACAATCAGTTATCACCCCCCCCCCCCTCTCTCTTCAGGAATTCCAGTGTAAATTTTTCCCATCAAGAAGAAGAAATCAAACATCGTTTATTTTCGTCCACCCCAGTGGGTGTCCTCTCGTCAAAAGAACGTCAATTGAGAAATAGCTCCTGCTCCGGTGATGGACGATCGAACTTCTCAAGAACGTATTCCGCAAGTATGTAGTAGATTAATTGAACGAAAAAATTACCAGAATATGTACACATGATTACGAATGCGACAGGAGTCATTTTTTAAAGAGAGGAGAATATGTAGAAGTTCGAAAAAGTCAGAATACTCTTTTCTAAGAATCTTAGACAGCATAGAATGAATAAATCGTTTCACTGCTACACGATCTAGGACGCCGTTTTAGAAAATAGATCGGAAATCAAGGAGGTGTTAGAGAAAGACTGGTCGAAGAGGTTAATGGGAAGAGAACAGAAAGAGGAAAAAAGGAAGACGTACCTGAAGTCGAAACTGTTGGTAGAAACGGAGACTGAAGACTCCAACGACGTCTCCGATGTGTTGCCACGTGCTCCACCTCGACTGTGTAGCCATCTGAAATATTCTTGTTCTCCATATAGGCATAAATCATATTTTTCTCGACTTCAGAACTTAAGGGAACTATAACGGACTAGAATTTACAAAAAGACTTCTGAACATAAAATTACAAAAAGCAGTTCTACAAAACGTAGTTTTACTTGAGTCGACTTGATTTTAGGACACTTGTATTCCCCTTACACCTATCGTATTACCTTTAATAGAACACCATTTTTATATATGTATATATCAAACTCAAACTTCGAGTATGACTGTGCCGTTCTGTTAGATGAGATACAATTTTTAGACCATTTTCATTCGAAAAGTTGGAAAGTCAAATACAAGCACTACACTGTAAACGAAAGGATCCCAATAATTTTCATATACATGTTTTTAATTTGTTTTCAGCCATTTTGGGCCGCTTTATTTGGACCACTATCCGTTTTTGAGCCGTTTCCAGGCATTTCTAAATTCATTTCAAACATTTTTAAACTTTTTAAAGCTATTCCGGTCCGAAAATGTCTAGGAAAAGGGTGGATAGCTACTCAGTAAGCAAGGCTGCGATTTAAAAAATAAAAACATGCAGAATAGTTTTTAGCAAAATTAACTGAAAGTAATTCATATCAGGTTGTTATTGTTATTATTCAGTTTTAGCGTTTGCGACGTCCTATCAGCTGGTTTCAAATGCGACTTCGAAGAAGTTTCTTACTGGAATATTTTTTCAGTATCGAAAATTTGCAAGCCTTCCTACTCAAGCCCAACTATAAGTGGTCGAAAAAAAAACATCAGCTCTGGATTTTCCGGAAACATTGGTTCCTTTTTTTCAATTTTAAATACACCTCCGCTCAAAATTCATCACAATTTGCATTCTAATTTCTGTTCGTTCGAGAACTTTGAAAGAATTCCGGATTCGCAATTTTTGAATTCTGATGCAACTAATTCAGCAGCACGTGTCTGGGTGTCTCTACTCTTATCATACTCTTGTTGTTCGCATTCCATTACGCCCATCTGATTCATTATGGTGTCATTCCATGCTATTTTCGAAATTAAACCCGGAAACACAGGAAACAGAACGAACGAACCTCCACATTTGAAGATGTCGATGATCGACCATCTCAGGGACAACATCATTTTCAGTATGGGACGCCATTATTTCAGATGAAATGAATTACAAACCGTCGAAAAACGGCGGAAAAAATATTTGGTATGCTTGCGGTTATCAGTTGAATAACCCGCGGGTCGTAGGACAATGTGTGATACGACTCGTTATCTCTTAATTTTCTGGAAGAAAAGAGAATTAAACAAGACTCCTTCTTCAAATTTTATGTTGTTCGCCCTCTTCTGATGGGAGCCGACCTGACGTCATCGCCCCACGATCTTTGTCAATTGGAAATAAACATGCAAAGGTTTCATTTAGAGTTCATCATTATGTTCTCTATCACAAAGCAATCATTTTCACAGTGGAAACAGAAACAACAGTCAGTACCCGACGTATTTTCAATCGGTAGTCGAAGAAAAATTTGGTAAAATTATAGACAAAAGAATGGAAAAAGGTAGAGGATAATACACATCCAAATGTACACTGGCAAACATTTTGAAGATCGAATACTCAGTGATGTACTCCCGAGACGTTGCTCAATTCGTTCATTCTGAAATCGATAGTATACTTATATTGCATTTTTGAAAATAAAAACTCACGAATGACCGAATTTTAAATGAATAAAAACAAAGACAACTCCTAGTACAATTGCAAGACATCCAACTACGAGATATGCTATTCCGAGAAACGAATTCTTTCCTCCTGCCCAGCTGGTGGTTGATATAACAAAGTACTTTTTGCCACCGAAGGATTGAACGGGATAATCTCAAAATTTAGTTGATCATGATTTAAATGATTTTATAATTCTGGTTCAAAAAATCGGAGCTGTAAAAATGTTTTTTTTCCTGATTTCAGTTTGTTTTCAGTCGATTTTTTAGGTTACTGTAGTTGTCGTTATAGGACCTTTGGCCACGGCCACCGGAATTTCTCTTTCACAGCTGCGATTTTTTCGTACTAGAAAGATTTGACAATGCTCTCTTCTCAAGAATTATTCAGAACTCACTATTTTCAACAGTCAGCACATAAGTTCCTTTAGGTAAACCATTGGTAAATGCAGGATTCAAGTTTCTATCAACAATTCTCCATAACTTTTTGAAGTATGGGAGAGCCGCCGTTCGCATCCAAACGATGAAGTCAACATTCTCGAATCCACCCACATCGCAGGGATTCTTTCTCCAATTTGGTGGTTTTACGGTATCCTGCAAAACAGTCCCTTATTCTCATTTGTTATTAGAATCCCCCTCGATATTTGTGACCCCTTCTATCATCCAACACGTTCATCTATGTGAATAATACGCTGCGGTCGCATCTTTTAGCTGCGCAGCTGTTGCTCTCATTGCGCACTGTGCCCCCGATGACGTCACAATACCCCACTGCTCGCTCTCAAACAGTATACCTTGAATGCGTCACACAAATTGCCTCCATTCAGCGGCGGATTTTTGAATTTGCGATCTTTATCCACATTCCATATGACACCTTGAGTCGTTACTGGAACTTCGATGGGTAGGCCAGTCTCCGATTGGTAGGTGAGGGTGAAGGTGTCTGAAGAATAATTATATATGTACAGAGGATCCTACTGAAGGGCTAAAGGGTCCTATGCCCTAGAATACATCGTATATGTATAGTGTGACCAGCAGATGTACGTTTTCTGTCGGTTAAGGATTTGGATAATTAAAGAGAACTCACCGTTGAAAATAGAATTGGCGATTGCACCACATGGAGCGATTGGTTTCTTCGTTTCTGGGTCGTAGTCGAATGGAGCACAATCTTTTACGTTCTGAAATTTCTATGGTCACAAAAAATGAATGCGGATGTGGTTCCTACAGTTAAATCTCCCAAGTATTGCTGATCATTCCGGCTCTTCACATATCGGCGGTGATTTTGATAGTAGTTTTCCAGGTTATAGTACAAGTAGACGTCACCATCGAACGCGTTGGGTAAATTGATTTGTAATCGGCATGGCGATGGTGAGCACGAAGTGTATTCGATCGGATATTCAGAAACAGAATCAGAAGCAATAAACAGAAAAACGCCGATAGGTAGAAATATGGCACCAATCACAAAGACGGTTGGGATGACTGTCGTTGCAGTCAGAATTGGTTGCCATGCAGGAAGTTTCTGTTGTCGAAGTGCGCTTGCTGGAATGAGCGTTTTTTGATTTCAGAACCAAAAGAGTAGTGTTTTTTCTAAAATTCGAATCGTTCAATTTGATCCACAACAAATAATATTAAATCTTTTGAAATCTCACCTTTTGGTCTGTTTTTGAGCACTTTCGTGTCGTTTTGAACCCCTTCCGAAGCGCTTCCACTTAACTGCGTCGCCGTCTGGACAGCGTCTCTCGGAGGCATTCTGAATCAACTAATTATCTTTAAATTTGTGGGGAAATGTTTCATCGAAAAATATGAAGGTGAAAAAGGTTTTTAAATGACAAACGAAGGCAGTTTGTCCGCAAACAACTGACTTTATGCGTCATGCCAAGCCTAGTGTAGGTGTGTCTGCGTCTCAGTTTTGTTCGAATCGATACAACGCTCGCTCGTATTTCAACAGCTTTTTAAAAATCTACTCCGTTTATGTAAAAATTTCTTCATCTCGAGATCTTTATTTGTTTAAAATTGGGACATTCAAAATGCACATTGGTGAAAAATATATCAATCAACTTTTGAGTTAAATTGAATACAACAGATTGTCTGTGCGAACCGAGCCGCTCCGAGTATCTGGGTTTAAAAAAGTTTAAAGTGAAAAAATGAGACAGAAGAGAATGAATTAAAATGAGGCAGTGTCAAATAAATTTAACGCCTAGTGGGGGAGAGTATTAATCTGGATGAAATTGGGAAGATATTAATTAGATTATTCGAGTTGGTTGTATTTCTTATTGGGGTCCTTGGCCTGGTGCTCCGGCTGCCTTCTGTCCTGGGACTGGTGCTCCTTTCTTGTTCATGAGATAACGATGAATGTGTGGGATGACTCCTGTAAAAAAAAAACAAAAGAATAAAATCTTATTAATTTCTGAGTTTACCTCCTCCAGCGATGGTTGCCTTGATGAGAGTATCGAGCTCTTCGTCTCCACGAATAGCGAGATGAAGATGTCTTGGGGTAATACGCTTCACCTTGAGATCTTTGGAGGCGTTACCTGCCAATTCGAGGACTTCGGCGGTAAGATACTCGAGGATTGCGGCACTGAAAATCATATTCGTAATGAAAATTTTCGAAGAAGGATTATAGCTCACCTGTAAACGGCAGCGGTAGCTCCGACGCGTCCACTGGAAGTAGTTCTCTGCTTCAGGAAACGGTGAATACGTCCGACTGGAAACTGGAGTCCAGCGCGAGCGCTTCTCGAGACGACTTTCGACTTGGACTTTCCGGAGTCCTTTCCGGCCTTTCCTTTTCCTCCTGCCATTGTAGACGTGGAGTAGCTGTAAAAAAGGTAAAATAACAAACGGTACCGAATATTATAATAACAATAGAGTGCTAAGATTTCAAATGTACATTGTGAAATTTAAACCAAATACGGTAACGAACATCTCCGATGTTTATAATTTCGGAAAAACAAGATGCACAAAATACTTATTATTGAAATTAACTTGATAAAACAGATTGATTAGCCTTATTTATTCAAATGACGAAGTGAACGTTCAAAATGCTCAAAAGCGCGCGCAAACGACAGTCTCCTCCCTCTTGGCACAGTGCCAAGAAGTAAGATACGCGCGGGGTTTCGCAGCGAGAGAGGTACTGTGGTTTGTGTGGATTTACGGGAGCGTTTTCGCTTTTTTTAGCGCGCGAATTATCAAATACTGGAGTTGGTACAAAAATAAAGCTAAGGGGATTTTACAAATACATTATTGTATCGGAATAAATGGCATCACAATCTGATCCAAATGATATCTTTTCGAAGCCGTAAGTGCACTGTTTCAAGAGATTATCACAAGGTTTCCTTTACAGAATAGTCCGAAGGCGTTTCCAAGCTACATTGGCACAACAGGAGCATAATGCAGACGAAGATCAAAGTTCGTCTACACCTGATATTGTAGAAGCCCCTGATGCTCCAGACAGCTCCGATGTTCCTCTCAATCCGCTTTCTTCTCCCCCATTGAGTCTTCCGGAAACATTGTCTGAAGGAAATCCGGACACTGTAAATATCAGTTTATATTCTCGATCATTCAGCGTATTTGTTTTATTCAGAACCTCAGCGACGAGAGTGAGCCGGAAGTATTGAGTCAATCGTCAACATCATCACTAAATAAGAGAATGGAAGAATCTGCGATTGGGGGAGAATCAAATGCACGCTCCTTTAAAAGATCATCGTCGAGTCAAGGGTTCGACTATGAGAGCAGTCCGATGGCAACAGCTCCTGTTCAGAAGAAGAAAAAAGACGAAATAGACAGTACGTCACTTTTAGTGAAACATAAGATGTTAAATTATAAACTTTTACAGTGGGCGGAGCCAAATTTTTTCCTAAACAAGAGAAAAAACATGTTTACACACACAAATGGACGAATGATGATGATGATAATGCTATTGAAGACGAGCACGGTGCTTCTACATCGTCTTCACAAAGATCGAGGAGAGTGCACCAACCTGCGGTTTCAGCAGTTCCGGTGATTACGCTTGTTATTATCTTAAAACCAAAAGTTTTCCTGTTTCCAGCGCAAGCCAGTTTACGCCACAAGTAGCTCATATTCATCATCTTCATCAAACATACAAAGACAAAGTATTCGGCATATCAAAGAAGCGAATGAGTTGAGAGAATCTGGAGAATACGCCGACTTCAAACACGACTTGATATATATTCTGAGCAGCTTAAGATCTGCTGATGCGTCCATGAAGGTCAAATGCCTAAGGTGAGTCATTGCCAAAACGTCTGAAATATAATCCTCCATGTTTTAGTGCAATCTCGTTGGCGAAAAAGTGTGTCTCACCTGATTTTCGACAGTTCATTAAGAGTGAGAACATGACAACGAGTATTGTTAAAGCGATTTTGAACTCCCCAGATGACGACGTGAGTTACTATCCGTTTTTTTTTTCGTTATTGGTTTCAACTTTCAGCTGTTTGCCCTAGCTGCATCAACTGTTCTCTATCTTCTGACCCGTGACTTCAACTCTATCAAAATTGACTACCATACACTACGCCTTGTTTCCCAGCTTCTTCGTATTGAAAACATGGAGCAGCGTCCAGAAGAGAAGGATAAAGTTTTGAATTTGGTTTGGGAAGTATTCAACGCAACATTGAAAAGCAAGAAGTCGGCGGTCAAAAGGCGTCTTTCGATATGAGAAAGGATTGCTTGTCACCGTCGTCACTGATCATCGAAGCTCTCGTTTTCATCTGCAGTCGTGCTGTGAATGATGAGATTTTCAAAAACGAGCTTCTTAACTTGGGAATTCTCCAATTCATTGTTGCTAAAAGTAAGACATTTTTTCGTTATATCACATTGAAATTGTGTTTTTCAGTTGAGACAAATGTGAATCTGATTGCCGACGGAAGCGAAGACACATTCCATATTCTTGTTCTCAATCGTTGCTTTAGAATTCTGGAATCGGTATTCGTCCAATAACAATTTCAGTTCCAATACCTGAGTTTTCAGAGCTCTGCGTTTCATAAGAAGAATCAAGCATTCCTCGTGTCTCATCGGTCCAACATCCTCATCAAAAGCCTTGCCAAGTATCAGCTTTTATCCCATTCCATGTAGATTTATAATGATTTCAGGTTTCTTCAAGTTATTCATGACAAAGTACACGATATGCCTGAAGAAACCGTCAAGAAATATATATCCTGTCTTGCTCTTATGTGTAGACTTCTAATTAACATTTCCCATGACAACGAATTATGCTGTTCAAGGCTTGGCCAAATTGATAATTTCCTGCCGAATGCTTTAACTACGTTTACGTATCTCGCTCCAAAATACGGAAAAGAAGATGCATACGATATTAATGTGATGGTACGTTTGATGAGTGGACGATGGAAATACGATAGACTTCTTTCAGATGACGTCTCTCCTAACTAACTTAGTGGAGCGGTGTAACTCTAATCGGAAAGTTCTGATTTCACAACATGTCAAGGTTAATAAAACCCATTTAAATTCTAACTCGAGTGCAATTTTATAGATGATGATACCGGGGCAAGAAGTAGAAGAAGTTCCGGCTCTGGAAGCGATATCTCGACTGTTCGTTTATCATGAAGCGCAAGCGCAAATTGTTGATGCAGATTTGGATAAAGAATTGGCATTCGAGGTATATTTCCAGATGATACAGTTTTTCCAAATTAGTCAATATACAGGAAGGAGGATGTGGAGAGGGTGATGAAGAAGATAACGAAGATAGCAGTGACGAGGACGGTGTGCGAAAGGATGGAAGACTGGATAGGAACAAGATGGACAACATGGACCAAGTTGATGTTGTACACGCTCTCCAACAAGTCATGAACAAAGCATCAGCACATATGGAAGGAAGTGTGATTGCTTCCTATCATGCCTTGCTCACTGGCTTCGTTTTGCAACAAAATGAGGAACATCTTGATGATGTCCGAAAACATCTTCCTGGAAACACTTTTGAAAACATGATTGCACAATTGAAACGATTGTACGAATTCACAAAAGCCACGATGGTAGGATTGACGCTCTAGAATATAACTATTTCAGAAATATTTCAGTCAAAACGAATCGAGTCCAACTCGGGATTCCGTGCCATCGAACGAGTCATCGACTATCTCGAACGTCTCGATTAAACACATTTTTATTGAACTGTCTGTACTATTATGGTAGTCTTTCTTTATTTCACTATACTTATTGCTTTCTCGGTTATCTGAAACCTAACCGGTCTTCAAGATCTCGGTTTTGAATTGTGTCCCCCTGACCCGAACATATTATTTTATTCGAAAGTATTGCTATTTATATTGTGAATTATGATAAATCAGTGTATGAAAAATCTTTATCAGTGATCACCAGAAGAAACTATAACATCACGAACAGAAGGGAGTGGGGATCGAATGATCTGTAAGTTCAGGACTAGACTTGAAATTAGTCATAGACTCAAATACCCCGGAGTTCGATGGTGGCAAATGTACTTCTCCAATTACCTCCATGAATACTTCGTCGGGAGCCAGGACGCCGAAAATCAGCATTTCCCAAACGAATAAGGAAGTGATGACCGAAATCACTGTACTGATCCATCCATCAAAGAAGAACCTAGAAAATCTAACATTTTCCAACGTTTTTTTTCTCGCTTTTAACTGATTGTCTTCGAATAAAACTCACGAAAATCCAGAAAAATAAATTCGGTAAATAAAAATATGTTTAGGTTACGGTAGTTGTCGCTGTGGGACCCTCTGCGGCAAAATACTGAGGAAACCAAAAAATACTAACAAATAAATGTAGACGATTGCGAATAAATTGAACAAGAAGTATCCGATGATCCATTGTGTCGTCTTCTCTGAATATCCGAACATTTTGAATTATATTAATAACTAAAATTCAATTTTTAAGTTTATATTTGCAAAATGCCAGCTGGCGTTCCAGTACAAAATAATCAAAGAAATGGAAAAATAACTTTATTTTTCGGATCACGACACAAGAGAAAAATGGAAATAGAGAGATCTAAACATGAAAAAACATTCAAAACCATATCGTATCAACTCCTTTCCATTGCCAATTTTGCTGCCAATTTTCGAACTGAATCAACAAACTTCTGAAACAAAATATATATAATTCAGCTAGGTTTTCCAGCTGATCAAACCGTATAGATCTCTTCGTCCGCTCTTTGAAAACTTGGAACATTATAAATGTGTGGTGCAGGAGATTGTGGACGTCCGGTTGATGAAGAAGGAGCATCCTCTATATTCGGAGGAACTAATTGTTGAGATTGGGGCAGCATTCCAAAGTGAAGAGGATTGAAAATCGATTGTTGTGGAACACGAATCGGGCGGGGACCCACAGATGGAGTACTCATAGTTTGTCTTCGGGAAGAGGCTGGTGTGTTCGACGCAGATTGGGCTGGAAATGAGTCTGTTTTCCTGAGATTAATGCATTACGAAACTCCAACCATCCTCTTTTTCTTTCCTCATCATTGATAATGGGTATTCCAGTTCTGATGTTGCATTTGCTGAATCATTTGACAGTATTGCATCAAGGGAAAACTAAGAGATTGGACACCTCGAGCAGTTGACACTGGAACTGTATCACAAATAAATAAAAATAGAAGATTTCTTTTTTTCTTACCCAAAGCAGGATTCAGCAGCATTTGTTGAGCGGCCGTGTGCGCACTGTACTTCTCTTCTGGCTCTTCAGTCTGAAAAGTGGAAATCTAAACTTTTCGTAAATTTAAACGAAGAAACTTACTGTGTTAGAAGTTGATCTTGGCCTTTTCAGTGACATGGCTTCTGACATTTCTTTGAAATTCTGAAGAATAATAAAAAATTGAATATAACAAAAATATGAAGAGGTGAAAGTTAGTCAGGAGAACCAGCTCGTTTTGTGTATTGATAACAGAAAATATATACAGGCAAACTGATAAAAACTCGAATGATAGTGGCGTTGCTATCGATAACGGTTCTGAAAAAATTGAGAAACAACAAATGGAGAATGGACAACTAGGTTGAATTTGGTTATCATATGATCCCAAAAAAGTTAGGTAGCACCTTCAGATCTTCAGGCTGACACTTTACACCGGAATGCAAAAACGGCATTCCTTTAGACATAAGTAAAGCTATTCCTCAAGTCTAGGGATTTTTATGGTTGCCCAAAGATGAAATGTTTCTTGCACTGATTTTTATGAGATAAAGCAACTTTGACAAGTGATAGCTCAGCTCAAAGTTGATGAAATAAATTGAAACTTGGTCAGATTACTGATTAATTCTTTAAATTATTGTCCTCCTTATTTGATCGCAGTGCAGCCAATATCAGGGCTAAATGTTATGTTTATTTTTCAAATGAAAATTAAGGAATATTGTAAATTGGTCTTTCAAAAAAAGGGGATAAAAGAAGTGAGTAGTGGTGAGTGGGAACTAGCTCTCCGTCTGAAGAGAGCCAAAGAATTATATATGAATGAAATGAATTTGTGATGAGCCAACGTTCATTTTTCATTTCGTTATTTATTCATTTCAAGAGGCGACGTTGCCTATTTTTTATTCAACACTTCGTTGCAGTGTGTACAATTGACAGACGAATAAGATGAAGACAAAATTCACAGAGAAAAAATTGTATACACAATTCAGAAGCCATTTAGAAAATAACCGAAAAGCAAATCTATGTAAATCAGACAGACATGAATTATGGTTGAAACTCTATAAAAGATATATTCATTCACAATTGGATTTGGAAAGAATCATCATTTATTGAGAAAATGTATCCAGGTAAAGACACCAGGTTTTTAGATTTATTCTTGTTTTCAGAACCAGATTAATGAATTTTAGTCCAGGTTCCTGTAACACAATTTTAGTCCGGTATATGCAGAAGTATAGTCCGATTTCAGATATCCGTCACTTTTCTCCTGGTTCCGTTTCGTTCGCAAAGTAACCAAGTAACATTCTAAAAACGTTCCAGAAACACACTACGAAAGCTGACGAAAAAGCTAAAATCACCACTATAGCGAGGAGGTCAGAACCAGTGTCAAGCGAAAGTATAGATCGCGCTTTATGGAAGACAGAAGCAGGAACATAAAAATCCGTCGGACGGGCGGACGACGTACGGACGACGAACGAGCGGACGGACGGAAGACGATGGAAGATAGACGACGAAGGACGATTGACAATGGACTATGGACGATGAACGATGGACGAACAACGGATGAACAGACGATGAACGACGGAAGACGGAAATTTTTTGACAGCAGACGGGAGCCGGAACATGAAAATCCGACAAACGGGCGGACGGAAGACAATGGAAGACGAACGACGATGGACGACGGACGGGCGGAAGACGGGAGGACAACGGATGAACGGGCGGAAGATGGAAAACTGCATTTTTAACAGAAGGTGGAAGCTGAAACATGATAATCTGACGAACTGACGGAAGACGGACGGACGACGGAAAGACGATGGACGGAGAACGGAAGACCGAAGACTACTCAACACTGGTCAGAACAGTAAGAAAACGAACGATGATAACAAACGCGCGCACAAAAATAAAAATATAGTGGAATTCCAAAAAAATCAATCAAGTTCACAAGTCTCTCAACTTCCAAAGCACTGATCACATGTTCCACATCTTGTGACTTGTTGTCCCGTGACATCGGAAAACTGAAATTTGTAAATAATTTTCGAATTGTTTGGCATATTTGGTCCTTACCTTGTCATAAGCAAATCCGGACTGTTTCAAAACTTGAAGTGCAATTGGTAACTTTTACTAGCATTCTAAAATCGTTTGATGTTTAATGTTTAATTTATGAATTTCTTAATTTTTTCAAAAAAATCGTGACAGAAATTTCTCAATTTTGGTAGCAAGAGCTAAAAAAAGGATTTGGAAGATTCCTTTTTGATTGAAAAGCTCACAACGACTTCTTCCTCTAACGATGTTCCCAGTAACTAATTCTAGAAATTTCGCACTGGAAAATTTTCCTAGACCTCGTCCCGAGAAGTATTAGGCAACAATTTATATTTCAAATTTTAATTTTTTTTGGAAAACGAAAAAGGAGAATTCAAACTTTGGTTAATTTTAAAACTACGCTCATCTTACACTTTATTCTACTACTCCAATCCTTCAAATTCATTGATCCTGGAAGTCGTCGCCGATGCCGTATGTTCTGTGAAACGGGGCCCCGCAATCGTGAAAAATCCTGGAACTTGAACGTTGAAAACTAAGTACAGATTCTTTCAAAGTTCAGTTGGATCCTGGAATAGCCCTCATTTTGTTAGGCTTTCACGGAGGTTACGGTAACGTAAAATTGACGTAAAAATTTAATCCTCTCTATCGGAAAAATTAAAAAATTAAACCCAGAATGAGTTCTTGACACAGGAGGTTTTTTTTGATTGTAAAATAGATCGAAATTCAGCATCTAGGCTGAAAATTCTATCAAAGGAGTTTTTTTAATCGGTAGTGGAGCCAGTGGAAACCATCAAGAGAATAAGCGTCTCCGAAAAGCAAGGAGCGTTTTCAAAACATGCCCACGAAAGTTCAAAGATTCCAATCTGAAAATCTAATCAACGCTTCAAGAGAAAGGCGGATACAATGTGGACTTCCTGAAACAACTTCGGCAACTTTCCACAAAAAATTTAGAGTACAACCACTGCTCAAAAACAAGTTCTGAATATTTTAATGGGGAATCTGAACACTGCATTGTCAGAACCTATCAAGATTTGTTCAAGCTACAGTAACAATCTGACTTGAAGGGTATGGCAACATGCAAAACTGCTAAAAAATTTCCCTGGTATTAGCCATTATTGATAATGATGTTTTAGTAGTTTTGTTCAGAGAAGCTCAAATTTAAACATTTTTTCCCAATTTCCCAGTTTTTCCAATTTTCAAAAGTTCAAAAAATTGAAGTTTTCTTTTTAAACAAGCATTAAACCATCATGTGAATTCAACCTGGTGACCCAAGTTTCAATGATATCATTTACACAATTAGACTTGCCTTTTTCCGTCACAAATAAATGTTTCAGCTGATGGAATCAGTCTAATGGGAAGCGGAAGTACAATTTTGATAAGGTCCAGTTCATGGAAGTTGTGCTTTGGGAAAATAGAGAAAATAATTTGGATGAAATGCTCGGGATTCAGTAAGAAGAGAGTTTTGATAGTTTCAAGAAACTTTAACTATCTGAAGCTTCATTACTAACCACAAAAATCGCGATAAAATTTTTTCGGCTGTAAAGCGAATCTGTGCTCTAATCCTTTGTTGGATACTGTATGTTGAGAGATTGTTCTTTGATATTCAATAAAAATTCAGAATCATTCAGAAAGGTCAGATAGATTACCCATGTATCATAACTCACCAACACCTCTTCCCCTCAAGTTTCTAAAAAAATCTGAAAAATCCGCTGGTGAGAATCTCTTCATTTTTTCATATTCATTGAACACACATGTTTTTGTTTATCATTAGTATGCCTTCTAACATATTTTTTATCAAAACAGTACACTTCTACACCAAACAAACTCCAGATGTCATTTTCAAAACAAATAATATTTTTTGAACTTTTTTTATTTTTCAAAACTTTTTTTCTAATCTCTCCCACTTGTTTCGGTATGATAATATTTTATTTGTTTGAGGAGGTCGTTCACTCATTAATTCACACCCACCTTTCAATGACTAATAAAAACTGACTGGTATAATTTTTTGCTGTATAAAAGATCAACCTTATTAAAAAACACCTCACCGACTGAAGAGTGCTTTCCACTCTTTTTTCTCATTTTCTATCTTTAGGTTAGCAACATTTTTAAGTCGCTAGTGTAGTTGATAAAGAGGGTTTAGGTGCAGTTTTTTCCGGAATCGTAAGCTTATTGTCATAGATCACAACTAAGTTTTGCAACGAGAGATAGATCTGTTCCAAAAGATCAGATAGTTGAAAACTCTGCAGGGTGGAAATTACCCGGAATGATAAAAAATTTTTCTAATTTTTAGATTTTAGAGATTTTCCCTAGATGTGAAAAAAATGAAAAAAACAATTTTTCTACAATTGAAAAAACTTTTGTTATAAAACTGATAAGCAACTCAAAACACATCGTTTGTGAAATTTTGAGCAGCAAAAATACATTTTCAGCTGAGTTATGGCAAAAATGCCGACACATACCTTTTGTGCTCTGAGCATCATAACTCGAGAGCCCGACTTCCAAAATTCTTCAAAACCTTTTTGGTGCATACTTGGAACTGAGAATCATGTTACATTTAAAATCAAAGCCAGAAAAAATTCTGGAAAAAAGTTTTTTTTTGGATTCACGAACCACTGCTACATCTGAAACTTCTCTGAAAATTCCGAGAATGAGAAATTTTCAAAAAACCTATTTACCATAAAACCTGTAATAGAAGGGCCCCTATTTTTCAACTTTGAGCCAATTTTTCTCGGTTCCCGATAAAGATATAAAAATTTGTCAACTGATAAATTGTTTATCATAATATCCTATACATTTTATCAGTTGACACATTTTTGGTATATCTTATAGGAGCTGAGATAATTGAGCTCAAACTTAACAGTGTGGGGGCCCTTCTATTACAGGTTTTACGGTATATGTTTTTGGATTTTACAACTACTCTCATGCAAAATTTCAAGTCCATTGAGCAATTTTGAACAAAGTTATGAATGTTCGAAAAAATTCTCCTCCCCACTTCTCGCCACTGTATCTTGGAAGCACCAAAATTGGTAGAAATATAGTTTTACGTTTGATTCACAGCTACTGTAATTCTCAAAGCGATTCATTGAGTCTAGGCCTTGTTATGATAGCTTTAGAACCTAATTCTGTCTGAAACCATCTGGGCTCAGTTCAAATTTAACCTATTATATCAATTTTCCTCTTAGTTATGAAACCTATCAATCAGCCAAATTTTAGAAAGCAATAAAAAATGAACTTCCGTTTGATTATAAAATGGCATGTTCTCCTTGAACTACCTTCCTTATAATTTGAAACGTTAACATGAAATTTAAATATCATACAACTCATATACAAAGAACTTCCTAATTGTATACTAGTTTTTGTGTGCTGCAATCATTTTCTTGTAAACAAGTCATTCGTAAAACTCTTTGTTCTTTATTTCCGAGATAAGGGGATTGAAGATCGTAAACTCTTTTCCGACTATAGTCCATTGTGTCGTAGGGTTTTATCAGTTGAAAAAATCGTCCATACAAATAGGGGTGCGGTCTGACGAAACCGCCCATTTTACTCCGATCACTCGCCTGAGTTTCCAACTTTAACTTAACATTTTCAGAAAGTAAAAAAAAAGCAATGTCTGCTGAAAACTTCTTCTCTGGAACCAGCTTGAGACTTAAGGATGGATCAATGGTGGATGCTGGAGAGCATTTGAAAGGAAAGGTTAGTGGAAATCAGGGAAAATTTTAAGCACCTGAAAAAGTTCAAATTACGAATTAATTAAACTTTTTGATTTCACTAAATCCCACCCGGGCCTGCATGGTTTCCATCAAAATAAATATATTAAACCATACAGTAATCCTACTAGGGAAAACACGGATTGATAATGTCGAAATGTCAAAATATATTTTCTGATCTTGTGATCCCTCTTTCCCTTAAACCGATTAATATTTCAGATTGTGGTTCTTTATTTCTCCGCAAGTTGGTGCGGTCCGTGTCGTCAGTTCACTCCGATTATGAAGGTAACGTTTCCATCCGATCTGGCCATTTTTATCAGTCTGGTCAATGTTGGCAACTCTTCCACGAAACTGCTGAAAATGCAAAAATGGAACGCAGATAACATTATCAAAAAGTGATAACTTGCAGGAGCTGTACCAACAAATTGCCGCTACCAATCAGCCAATTGAAGTGATTCTTCTGTCGAGAGATTATATGAGATTCCAGTTGGATGAGTACTACGAGAAGCAAGGATGCTCATGGGGAGTCGTTCCACTCAGAGATCCAATCATTGAGAAGTGTTTGGAGAAGTACGATGTGAAAGCGTTGCCATCATGCAGAGTGGTTGATGAATTTGGAAACTGTTTGGATGCAAATGCACGTCATCATGTAGAGGTGTGTAACCAATTCAGACAATGCCTTCTGATCCTCCGATGTCTGATCTCAATCTTCCCACTTTCCAGATGTATCGTGAGAAACGTCAAATGACCGAACTCTTCAACAAATGGCGGCAACAAATGGTCCAGATCCGTGCTTAAATAATCTCTCCTATCTCATCCAGTCTTTCAAAGTTCTTCTCTTTTCTTTTCTATCCCAGTGTATACCCTTTGAATATTCGCATAATTTATTCTGTCTATATTTACTAAATGTATTTAATAAAATGAAATATCTCGATCCTTCTCATAGCTTTGTGCTCGGCTCATCCGGATCTACCCATGGCCAGTCGCATGATCGCTCTCCTGAAATTTTTTTTTGAAAAAAAAGAGATTCGTGATTTTCGATGGTTTGTCAGGAGAGAAGACACACGGGGTCAATTAGAAAAAAAAGAGAAGAGACAAGATGTGCAGAAAGAAGGCAAAACATCAGGAATGAATCGCTTTGCGAACTTTTTTTTTCATTTCGCGAGTTTTGAATGGGTTTGGTCTGTACCCTTTCAACGGTTTTCATGTGGAATGGAACCAGTTTTCTAAGAATCATAAAACCATTCAATCTAAACATTTCTCTCTTTCTTTTCAGAAACCCCATTTTCCACCCAACACCATCCTTTGCCTTGAACTTACCATTTGGACCAGCAGCTGTCAAACTCGTCTCTTCTCTGAAAATTGGCAACATCAAAACCGGAAACTCGTGGGCTCTTCGACTCGCCGCACCGCACATTACGGCTTCTGCTGTTGCTCCCCTTCGCCAACACGCGGTTTGGCAAGTCGCCAAAAGGAGGCGGAGCATCAGCAAAAAGAGAGAAGGGACAGAAGCCGAAGAGAGGGGCGGACAGAAGAGTCGCCAGTTCCTACCTGTTATTGCTACTCGACGGCTGACGAAGGAGAAGGGATGTCTCTCGTTCCTGTGATGATGGGGACGTCGATGAAAGACACCATTCTGCAATGGATAATGATTTGGATCGGAATACAATCTGTCAGCGCTTTGGAATGTTACGATTCATCTTATCCGGTACCACACCGGAGAACAGAATGTGGAGATAATATGGTTAGTTTATCATGGTTGCGATAGCAAGTACAGTAATACGTAATTCAAAAAAAAACTGTATGTCTCTGCACAAACTCCAAGAAGAATCTGCTGTCAAGCTTTTTGGAAATCCTATTATCACGTAACCGGTTCAGTATTTTGAAATCCCTTTTTAGTTGTCAGCATTATCTATCAGCCTGTCACCTGCTTTGGAAATTGTCACGTAGGTTATGTAACCGGAATTTCGTAACGACTTCTGAATTTAGGAATGATATTGTTTTCTAATTAATTCGGTTACAGAGGGAAGTAAAATCGAGACCCTTTCAGGACGTTCATGCGCCTTTAATTTTGAAACGATCTAAGAGCTCAACGGTAAAGGCGCATGGAACTTCCTGCAATGATTTCGCTAGTTGCTAATTAGCTCTCGGAAAATTGATACTGTTCAAGAAGAAAAAAATCCAGGAATCCATATTTCTCTCTTTTCGATACTCTTCAAAATAGATTGGAATCCGCAGTTTTTGGTTTTTTTTTCATTCTTTCAGCTTTGTGTGTTCTTTTCTATCCCCTAATTTCCGGTCTGTGTCTCTGTTCAAAATCCTTTGACCGCCGGTTTCCTGATAATCTTGTGAGTTGATAAATTTAATTTCACGGATATCAATAACGCAGACCTACATGAAGTGAAAAGAGAGATCATTAACAGAATTTCTAGTCTTGACGCAATTATCAGAGCACGTAGATCTCTTATTCTTCTTCTGCTTCTTCTTATTTTGTCGTGACTCACTTATTATAGTAAATACGCAGATAAGGCGGTTAAATATTGAAAGGAAGCCCTGAAAAGTGTGAAACTGGAAAAAGATATTCGTTGCGATTCCTGCGTCTTCCTCTATTTCTCTTCCTCCTGCTGTTTCTTCTCATCAGGCCTAATTCGGCTCGACAACTTTTTCGTGTAAGAGATTTTAGGGTTTGGCCAACCGAGAACCCGCAAAATTAGACACGGCTCGCTACTTTTAGTAGTCGTTAGTATACACACCTTATTTTGACATTTTTCAACTTCTTCTCAAATAATTAGGGAAGAAATGAAAAAAAAAACACACGGAGAACGGGGATTATATGCATCTGAAGTCTTTGGAACGCTTCGAAGGACGTGTGATGCAAAAAGAAAGACTAGGTTGGGTATAACTTTTTGTAAAAAGCTCGGTGATCCGAATAAAAATAAAGATCAACAATTTCACTCTAAGGTGGGCAACTGAAAATCCGGTCTACAGATTGTTATATCAACAGTTAAAAAAATTTCCTATTGATAAAATATTTTTTAAACTGAGTGGGAGTTTTGAAGAAGAACAAATTTAGTTGAATTAAATCAAGATTTATGATTCTCCATTTTTTCTTTTTCTTTTCTTTTTTTGCTATTTTCAGTTCTTCTTCTTCATCTCTTCATTTTCTTGGTTTTTCCCCGACACACAGGTCATACATAAAATGCTCAGAAATGCATAACATGTCAGTATTCATGTCAAAAAACATACTTTTTTTCCCTCTTTCTTCCAACTTTCCTCTTATTCTCAAATAATAATAATTCTGTGCATAAAAAGAAGGGAAAGAAGAATCAAGTGGGTCCCCCACTCAAGTGAGTTAGAACTAGGCAACCAATTTAAAATATGGCTCCTCCAACTCTTCGTTTTCAAAAGTTTTTAGTTTCAGTCGAGAGATGGGTCGGGTTTCGAATTCGCACATTTGTCGAAATTCAACACCCAAAAACTGTGATGAAAGCGGAAGGAAGGGGGTACCGCAATCAGAAAAATAGAGAGACAAACTGAAAATAAAAAATAGAAAAATAGAAAAAAAGAGGGACAATATGAAGTTTTGGTATCCGTTATTTTCCTGGATTATCATACTAAGCCCTACTCTCGACCCGACTGTTTAATCCCTTTTGATTGACACTGGATCCCAAAAGAAGGATATAATTTTCAGAAGTGCTATTCGGAATACTACGCAGTCAACAGAAGTGGAACGATTCGACAGTACTACGACAGATTCTGTGTTCACGAATCACACTGTCTCTACAGAGGAATCGACGAATCATGTCCGACATTGGCACAGCTTGATCATAAAATGCAGGTATTGGAATAACTTGATAGGACTTCAAGAAAACAAACCGATTAGGAACACCTTCTTTCATGTTATTCTGAATTCCTACGTCTTCTTTTTTCAGAGTCTCTTCACAAAACATCATGCAAAGAGTCAAGTGAATTCAATTCGTTTCTCCGAATTCTGTTGTTGTTCGACGAATCTTTGTAACGATGTCAACCATAAAAGGGTAAGAAAGAAAAATTCAAGAAGATCGCTGACCTTCTCTTCTTGGACCTTCTTTATATTCGGATATCCGGTGGAAATCGGATAGGAGCCGGGGACTCTCTACGTCACATACTTGATTAAACTTTTTATGAGATGCTTTTTATGAGATGATATGTATCAGGAAATGATTATGAAAGGTGTCTTTGAGAGAGATATTTTTCTAATTTTCTGTCCTTCTTGATCTCATTAAAGTATGTTTGAAAAATGTAAAAATGTATGTCTGAAAAATGATTATAACGATGATGACGATGTCAGAACACATAAAACGTAACTCATCAGTGATTTTTCAAAAAATAAGGGATCGTCGCCGCTGGGAAAGTTCCTTTAAAGCTTATAATTCTAATATCTCCTAATCATAAACTTCTAAATTTTTCAATTTTCCAGGTCTATGACAAGTACGGACTTCAAATAACGTTCGCGGACAACGTGTTCACAGATGCATCAAGCAGTCGAACCAACATCGTCTCCATCTCATTCCTAATTTGCATAATCTTGTACTTCGTCTCCATTCTTTAGGTTTCAATTTATCACTCATTTCATCTATCTCTCAACTCAACTCCCCCTTATCAAAACTCCTCCTCCTGATAATTTTTTAAACGGGCGAATGAACAATTTTCTTCTTCTACTTCACTTACCTTGTTGTAGAAATTGCGTATCACCTCTGGCTCGCAGTTTCTCCACCAAATCCCATAATTGAGTTGATTTCTGAAACGCAGACTTTATCATTATCTAGTTTACACCACCGGAAATTAAGCGGTACCTGGTGTAAATACCGCCTTCGCAGTTTGTTTTCGCTCTCCGCTTTGTTCATTAAATCACCGGTGCTATCACTGAAAAAAAGAACAAAGCATGAACAGTTGATCAAGGGGAGTTTCCAGCTTACGATCTCGGTTGGGGAGACATTGGTTGCGAAGTTTTGGCGACTACACTCTTCATAAGTCCTCGTCGATAAGCTCTTGGCTCGTTGCCAACTGGATTTCGAGCCAATTCAATTACCTGGAAAACGAGGGTTGCGAGAAGCTTTCAATTTTTCCGGAAATAGATTATCCTGCACTTTTTAAGAGGGCAAATATCAAAAGATTTGTTTCAAGATCACTAAATCTCATTATTGTAAAAAAAAGATAATCTGCACTAATCTACTATAGTTTGTTTCTGCTAATTCTGCTTTTTTCTAGATGAGGCTGTGGGTTAAATTTTATTTTAGTTCTTATTTCACATTAATTGATGTCCAATAAGGTCAGTAAGACTTCAGTTTGATCACCTATAATATACATTTGATGTTTTAGAATAAAAAACACTTTAGCCTAAAGTCTTTAGGATGACATTTATAAAAACAGACATCATGTTTAAAGTTGATGTTTGGAAAAACAAAAAATGATTTCATATTAGGCAAATTTGTTATAATTGTGATGATTGTTGAGCCCGACTTCCAGAATTTTCGAAAACTGTTCAACCATAATAATTTATGAACTAGTTGTTTGGTCTCTTTTTTCGAAACAACGTTTAGTGTGACTCTCTGAATGCAGCGCCTTTTTTCAAAAAAGAAAGGCCCACCTTTGGAACGAAAACGAGACAAAGTGTGAGAGTTGTGGAGAAAATGACAAAAAATGAGGCAAGACTGAACATTTCGTTGACCCGTTCTTGTAAAATTACACTCGTTGATAGTCCTAAAACACTCATGACCACACAGCAATAGACACTGGTTCCAATGTATTTGCTGTCGTTTAAAGCTGGAACATTTACATGGCGTGTTTCCCAAGCGAGGAAACATCCAAGGATCTGGAAAATGGAAAAATGTTGAAACAGAAATATAAGAAGAATATGAATACCATGAGAACTCCTTTTACTGCATAAAGAACTGCTTGAAAGACTCCTGAATTCGATGAATAACACTTTTCCACTTCTGGGATTATCACAATGTTGTCTTCTGGCTGGAAAATTTTTTGTACAAAAAAAAAGCTTAATGAGATGACACAGTTTTCCCTACGAATCTTCAGCAACTACCGTATAACCTGTATTAGAGGGTCCCTCTAATAAAAGGGTCCTCCGGGAGAAGCTTAGAAAAATAAAAGAACCGGCCCTTCTAATACAGGTCTTACGGTATTTCAAACACAGATACGGCGCGGTGGCCGAAAAGCGTATGAACGGCGGCTAAAGATTCAAGGATTGGCTATAACTTTTGTTTTTAAAGGTGGGGGGACAGGAGATTTTACGGGGGATTTTTGGGGCCAGAGTATGCATTCTACCGTAACGGTGTACAACGCTTAATGTCACTCTGCGTACAGCTGTCGCCCTCGCCTTTATGTATGCAATCGGGCAGCGGCTTTCTCTTTGCACGCGTAGCTCAGTAGGTAGCGGCGCCGCACCTTCAACACTCGCCTCGACAAGTTCAACTCCTCGAGGAGCATATTTGAACGGAATTTCGACAACATTATTATTCTCATGTCCCCCCACCTTTAAGGAAGTAGGTTAAATTGTGACAAGAAGTCCTTCTTTTTTAAAAAATTCATAAAATAGAAAAATTCACTTTTTTGATATTTTTATTTAAAAAAATTGTATTTTAATCATGGTCCGATTACAAATGGTTGTCTTTCATATTTTAGTCACAATTTTCTCCCCACTTCCTAATTTTTTAGACCGCCTTCTCATTTTCAATTCCTCAATCGTAATCCGCGCCATTTGTACGCTTTTCAGCAACCCGTTTTACCTGTGAAGAGACTTGCAGAAGTTACAGATTGAAGATAAGAAAACCACTTATCCCCAAAAACTCACAATGTGTGGAAGCTCCGTAACTGTATATGAGAACGGTGAAATGAAAGCCCATGTGACAAGAACACAGATGTCGATAAATAGAAGAACTCCAAGGATCAGGAACAATTTCGAATCTTTGATTGCTTTCCGATCCATCCGAATATTGGTGAATATTGAATGAACTCTCCATGTCTTTGAAAACATTGCACCAAACGACAATGTGAATCCAAGACACAGTGTCCATGTCTTCATATAACATAACCAAACAAAAACATCTGGAGATACTATTCGAGTGTCCAATCCTAACATTATCACTGATGCAAAGGTACAGATTGAGCCAGCAATAATGATGTTGTTCAGATTTGGAGAGGACATTTTGATGAATCTGCAAAATCGGGATGGTATAAAAATCAAGTTTGTTAAAGTTCACCTGTGATTACGGTATCTAAAGTTGATCAGTAAGAATATAAGTGCCAAGAAAATACCAATCAATGCTAAAAGTGACATTGCCAAAAACAACAACGATGAAATATGCTCCCGCCGTCGTTCAGTGATCGTTGAATCCAATGGAGGTGACCATCCTTTAGTTTCACTATCAATGATTCTGAACTCGTCTTCTGCTCCATCGTACATTGCAAATGGAACATAATGGTCTTCAGACCACTGCATTATATCTACCAACCCGAGCCTTTCGTTATTGGCAAACTTTACTTTACCCTAAAAATGTTTGTCAGATGTTGGAAACTGCGGAGAAAACAACTCACCGTTAACCCTTGAAAGGATGAATTATCAATTGCTTCAATCATTTTATGATGAGAGAATTCAGCATTTTCACCCATCGAATGACTCAATGCAATGGCCAGAGTCCATAGGCCATCATAAAGATATCCTCTCCAGGTGTTGTTCGGATCCAGATCACTGATTTCTTTCCATACATCTCCAGCTCTCTGAAAGTTCAACTTCCAGCACATTGATTTCCATTTGAATATGAATTTTCTAGTCAAAGGAGTCAACTGTGTTGTGGAGCCTGGCTTATTATTAGTTCAAAAGTTGGATTAATGTTTAGACGTCAACCTATTTAATATGGATCTAATCAATAACTGTGCACAACCAAAATATCATTTGGAATGTCTCATGGCTTTTTTCATGATACAACTGAAGACCCTACCGTGTTTCCAACTATCTTCGTATCAACATCTCTTCTCGACAATGCGAATTCAACCGAAAAATGATTCCTCGCAGCCTCTTTCATCTCCTCATTTGTGCAATTGTCATTTGTTTTGTTCATCCATCTGAAAAATTTAAAAAGTCAGAAGCATGTCTCCCATCATCACTGAATCTCTACCTATCCGAGTGATATCCAGGTAGAATCCATACATAATTATCCCCGTACATTCCCCGATGATAGCCTGCGCAGAGTACTGTAGCAGCCATTTCCTCATCCACGTCCACAAGAATAATTCGGACATCTCTCTCCTAAAATCAGATATATCTGGATCTTGCTTCATCTCTCGCCCCCAATTTAGTTTAAAAATTCCGAGTCATTTCTCTCGAATAATAAGATGTTGTACATGTAAGCGACCGAGGGAACGGGCTGTCCCACGGGATTCTCTGTCTGGTTATCTGGAAAGCCAATCGAGAGGACATTGTGTGACTCTCGAAGGAGCAAGACCGCCTTCTCGCTCATTATTTATCTTCTTTTTCTTTGCGACAACGCAAAAACGGGCGACATTGCCAAGAAAAAAAGATGGATGACGAGAATCACAAACCTTTAGCTCATCTAGTTCTGCACCGACAGTCTCGATTTGTTCCCAATTTACACCTGCGGTATGAACTATCTTCACTCCAAAACCATGTTCCAGACGAGTCGTCAACGCTTCGTGGGGCTGAAAAATTTATTCGGCTTGGGGAAAAACCCGTTCATCATAATATCAAAAACGTTTGCCAATCAAGTTTTTTCCCGAGAAAAATTACCTCAAAGTGGAAAGTCAGGGTGAAACTTTAACTTTCAACTACGGTATCTAGATAATCAGATGTCAAGGATTACTGTATTTCCTTTTTCGGTAACCTGTGGCAGCCTATACGAACCGCAAAATTTAAGCTCAATTATCTCAGTTTCTGTAAAAGGAATGCAATAGTGATCAACTGTCAAAATATTATATAATTGAGCTCAAAGTTGATGGTTTTGGTAAGCTTCTTTTGGAGGAATACGGCATCCCTATATGTCGACTTTTTTATATGTCATACAAGTGTATCAACTGAAATAGACAATTTTTAAAGAATACTATCCATAGTGGAACATTTCGAATCAAAGAAAAATATGTCTAATTTTCAAGCCCTTTCTATTTTTCCTTGCAATCTCCCGTTCCACATTTCCAATGTCTCCTTTCCATTCTGAAAGCGGAACACGAGGTGTCACTTGCATTAATCCCGATTCATGTTCCCCGTTTTATTTCTCTTTTTTCTCAATTCTTAATATGTCACTCTCATCCCCATCAAACATCTAGTAGTCGCTGTCCATTGCGTGTCTTTTCATTTTTCGGGTCCCGAAAATTTCAAAATGAATAATTCCGGATGGTTTCCCTTACCAACGCGTATCTCGGTTGATCATTCTGCTTCACCGTCCCGACTCGTTTCCACCCAAAATGATTCACAAACTTGCACTTTGCCATATTCGTATTTCGACTTCCAGGCACAACTCGAAAGAAGGTAGGAAACAACTGCAATCATATTTCATTCATTGTTTCTGTGTCACCCTTTTCATTTCAAAATGAGGTCCGAGGGGAAAAATGAAAGAATTGAGCATGGAAAGAGAGAAAAGAGGAATAGAGCTTCTGAAGAGGCCTCGGAATGGTCGCCCAAGGGCAATTTTTCTTTCCCACACCGGAAGACTTTCATGAATTCGTCCCCTTCGCTTCCTTCTAAATTGGGCCCTCCCTCAATTCGAAAACTAACTTCGTGGGAATCAGAGGAGGCGAATTTGGCATGAGTCTCTGCATATGATAGCTGAACAATTTGCCAATATTTGAGAGCCATTGCAATCGGTTCATTGACCTGAAATTATAGAAAATTTAAGAACTGAAAAGACATTGCTACAAATTCATTCATTGCTTTTGGAAAAGCTAACAAAACTGGAAAGACTTTTCCATAAGACATGTTTTCCTCTCAAATCATGGGATTTTTAAAAAGTTTGGATGCATACTGTTTTCTTAAATTTCAGTTATAATGTAAATTTGGGACAATAATGAAAGCCAATCAAAATAAATCATCTGTCAATCAGGTACAAAAAAATCGGAGCTTTGGAAGCGAAAAGCTTGTGGGCGTGGCTAACGGGTTTCGTCCTGAAAACCACCGTAACCTAAATTTTCAGTTCTACATCGAAAAAACTGTCAGAGAACGGAAGACCATCCGGAAACAATATGGAAGTGAAGCATATTTGCTAAATACGGTAGCTCGGCTGTGGCCACCAGATTTCTCTCCCACAGCTCCGATTTTGTATACTAGCTATAAACTCATATAATTATTTTTTGTATCTGGAACTCTTAATGAGGGACCATAATTACGTTTAGTCTCACTTTCAGAAGAGTCCATTAAGTTCGCTTACTTCAGTACATTGCCCTCCAAGAATAGCCACGGGTCTTGGTCTGGAAGCAATCAAATCGAACAACGCCTTCATTCCTTGTGATGTTTTGCACTGAAAATTATGTCATATTTCCCTTCCCAATATTTTTCAGAATATTGAAACAACCCAGTCCGTCTTCCTCTTCTTCATCTTCTCGTTTCGTCTAACCCATTTAGTTAACGCATTCAAGCGTTTAACATGGTGCACTGCTCTCTATTATTTTAGTCTTCGTCTATCTTTTCCGTCGACGACGTGGTCATGAATTCCGACACACAAAAGATGAGGTAACCGTGAATTGAAGAAGAGAAAAAAAATGGTGGAGCAACCGAACTTGAAATATTCTAGAGAGCACCACTAAAAACGTGTGATGGCTGAAGCTCGAGAGCGCCAAAATTGACTCAATTGACGAGAGATGCGCTTTTCGGGTTGCAAATTGAATTTGTTCGATATCGAATGGAAGGAGATGAGGGGGAAGAAAAAAACGGGATGATGACAGAAAATAGAAAACGACTTACATGGGTGTCTTTGACTATCATTTCCAGACGATATCCTTGAAGAATACATGATCTGGTATGAACATGAGAAAGGGCGGTTCGAATTGCTGGAAGAGCATCTGGATAGCCTTCTTTTTGAACAGTGAACACTCCAAGCGGTAGGGGAATTCCACCATGACGACGCTGAATCAGAATATAGTTTATGCAAAGATTGAGAACATAGTTTTCTTCTAACAGAAAATAAAAATCAAAAGACTTGTAACCAATTTCATACATACAGTAAACACTATAATAGAACGCTATACGAACCGTCAACTTTGATCCCATATATCTCGGTTATTTTGAAAGATATCAAAAACTAATCAACTGACAAAATGTTCATTTCAATACCAAAAATATTTTTTTCAGTTGACTACTCTTTGATATCTTTCACAGGAACCGAGATAAATTGTCTCAAAGTTAAATGTTAGGGGTTGGCGCTCTATTAGAATGTTTTACAGTATTCATGTCTTCCATCAGAATAGAACGGACAGAAATAATACAACCTTAGAAATTGCGAAAAACAAAGGGGTCCGCCAGGAGATAAGGTAGACTAAATTTTTACGCTATGAGATTCGGGACCCATTTGCCAGTCTTTTCTAGGATCTGAATTTTCGCCTTTCATTCAAAAGCTACAGAACTGAATTAATTCGAAACCATACATATTTATATTACCTTACAACTCAACTCCTCGCCGGCATCATAACTTTCAACTACTCCGACGGCGAAGAGCAGCGAAACCAGCCACTGGATGATCATGCTCCGTTATTCGAACTCATCGGATTTGTCAGTATGTTCTCCCTTGTCTAGAATATCAGAAATTGAATATTTCGGAACACGGAAAAGGTGGGTGGGAGGAAATTGGTAGCGACGAGACACACACACGACGTGGGTCCTTCCCGTCAGCTGCTCCTTTGCTCCGTCCGTCGCCCGAGGGCTCCACATACTATCAAAAAGTGGGCGGAGTCGAAGCGGAAGGAGCAGGCGAAACGAGACTGCAAAAAGAGAAAAAACGGGAGAAGAAAAAAGGGAAAAGAAACATCTTAGACTTGTGCCGAAGTAATATTGAAACAGGTGCATTTCATGTTGTTGATCCAGCAGCCATTGGAGTTTCTGTCACTTCTCTCTGTCAATTTGTGGGTGCCGAATTCGACGCCAGCTGTGAGATGAAAAGAATAAACAATCACTTAAAAATTGAGCTGTGGCAGAGAAGAAGCAAGTCAACTTTTTTAATTTATTGTTTTAATAAAATGCAATATTCAACATTTCTGTACAGTCTATTTAAACATATAGGAAACTCTAAACCCGAGACTAACAGAGATAAAGCATCAGAACAAAATATTTACAGATAATAATAAATAATGAGATCACTCTCGATGTTTCTTTGCCAGAGAATCGATGATGGCAGCAAATACAGGATCATGTTGAATGGTGTGCTGAGCTAGAATGACTAGGCAAACTGCTCCGATCGCAATGTGAGATAGATTATGAGAGAGACCAGGTGTTGTAGCAAAGATCTAAACGTGATAAATGTTTGAAGAGAAGTGAATTTGATAATCTTACCAGATAGGAGAACGAGGTAGCAAATAATGAAGCTCCAAGGAACATAGCAGTTGAGAATGTGGGTAGAACAGTTGTGAAGGATGGTGCGCGGTCGCCGAGATATTGCCGGATCGTTTTCCAGCTGAATTAAAAATTGAGATGCCTGTTTAAGAACACACTAATTCATAAAAATAGGTCGCTCATGGAATTCGATTTTACTGGGAAAATACTTACTTGTAGATAATTCTGACAGTCATATTGATAATATTCGCCACGATGAATCCAGCAGAGTTCATGTAGACACAGAGAACATAGTTGATGAAAAGATGAAGTGCCGAAGTGACAAATAAGAATTTCCCATGTGAATAAATCTGATAATTATCCATACTCGCCATTGCAAATCCTTCCGTAATCCCATTGATAGCAGTCACCAAAATGTATCCAGAGTATAACGAAAGAAGAAGAGCTCCTCCGTTATCAGATAGCAGTTTTCCTCCATAAAGTGAGATGGCGGTTGACGAGTACGGTACTCCGAAGACGCATGCGACGAATCCAATAACACCAACGACATGAAGAATTGTTGAAAGATTCTCAACTAAATCATCATGATTGTCTGTATTCTTGCTGAATACACTGCTCTCCTTTCGAATCGTATTGGAAAAATAGGCATTACAATTTTCGTCAATTGGTGATAGGATCGTCCGAACAATGATGCTTCCAACTCTTTCAACGGCATCGTATACAGCTATAATCAGTTCATTGATTTCTAAAGATTCTCAAATAGTTGAAATACCTTGATGTTTCAAACTGAGAAGTTCGGTGAATGTCATCACATAGGCACTGCCGTCAGTTAATAATTGTTTCAGAATAGAATGGGAGAACATTGTGAAAACTGCTTTCATAGAATCACGATCGATTCCTTCACTGGCCTTGGGAAGAAAATCGGAGAAGCTAGTGAACTTTTCCAGCTCCGGAATGGATTTGTTTCTAATGTAGAAATAAAATGCGATAAAATTAAAAAGAAGATAAGCGATTGCTCCAAAGTATTGAGAGTATGCGAAGATATCCAGATGATACATTTCGGGAAATATGAAAAGACCAGCTAGAACGAAGATTCGCTTCACACAAATTAACATCCCTTGTCCTATCGCAAAATGTTGGCCAAGGGATCCTGATGTGGACTCCAGTCTGAAATCCATATTAGAATTCAGAAGCTTATAGCAATTAGCACTCACCGTAAAGATAAAACAGAGAACGGTTCTGCAATCGATTCTATGATAGCAGATATGGGAAATGAGAGTAGAACATTCCAGGAAACATCTTCAGAAGTTGATGAAAAAGTGCACCAGAGGTAAACACAAATAACACTAAGCATTGATGATATGATAGGGCTCAGCCAAAGAAGATTAATAAACTTCGGAAGTGATCCACGAATGATTTCAGCTTTCCTCAATGGTTCTCGAGTTAAGAACAAAATTGACGAGTACAGGAGAGTCAGTCTGTAATTAAACACCATCCTGAGTAAAAAAGAATATTTCCAGAGGCGCATCTTACCTGACATTGACAAGTCCCAGAACATCGTTGTCTATTCTTCTTAAGAGATACATGTTGATAGCAAACGATACAATACGAGCGATGAGCTTAAAACTGAGGATTTGAAAAGGAAAACAAAGAACTATCTGGGTGATTACCTGTCCCCGTAAATTATGGGCAAGTGAAGAGAATAATGACGTCATGGCTTGAAGAACTGCAAGTTTAGTGAAAAATTGATTGTTATGTTTTCGGAGAATACTGATCGATAACTGTCCCGCTTTTTTAGGATCATTTATAAGGGGAATACAGTTCATTCAACCATAACTTTGAATTCAGCGAAAACGAATGAAGTAGATTCAAAACTATTGGTTTTCTCCGCGAGCGAATGCCTATTTGTGCGAACGCTTCAGTTATGCATTAAGCTTTAGAGAAGCAGAGAAACGGAGGGAATAATTGAGTTGGAGCAGTATTTCGTTCAATGTATTCAACAAAGATAGAAGAGAGCATCAAGCGGGAGAGGTCCATTTTTCTTTCCATTCTGTTGGTTTCTTGATGTTACAGTAATCATATATTTTTTGAATAACCGTACTGTCCTGAAATTTATCAATCGGATCCGCATTTTTTGACTAGTCGTGTTTATAGCACTACACCTTCTAGATTGAAACCGATGTTTTTTCCTTCAAATAGCTACAAAAATAAGAAACGAATCTTTAGGACATCTAAATATTTAGGCTACACTAGCTACAAAAAACCATTAATCGAAAGTGGTGGTGTGACGTCGGATGACAAAGTTTTGTGATAGGGTGACTTAGGAAGTGCGTCAAATGTCTATTGAAAAGTTAGGAGACTCGCATGAACAAAGTTATCCTTATTTTGACAATACAAGGTTCATAACCACTACGCCAGAGTTATAGATGTACGAAGTGGAAGTTGTTTCATTCACATAGAACTAACCGAAATAGAAAATGAAAAAGTTGCATTTTAGTTTATCTGTGGAGGGAGCAAGAAATTTCTATAAATAAGGGATTGATGAGTATTTAGGTCGAAAAAAAATCTGAAAAAAAAGACCAGAACGCCGTGTGGTTTTTACAAGTTCGAATAAGTCGAAAATTCATGAATAATTGGGAAAAGGTGACATTTTGTTGCAAAAACGACAAAGGCATGAGAAGAGTATGGATGAAGGGAAAAGCACAAAACGGATGAGAACAAAATTTCAGCCGATCGAGCTTGATTCCCATTAAGAAAGAGAGAGGACAAGTACGTACAACAAGTCAACAAGGAAATGTTGGCGGTTCAATATGTAAGAGAATGGTGCTGTTGTTTTTCAAGAATGAAATAGGAAAGGATGAGCAATAGAAATCTGTGAACGGAGTTGTTTAGAGGTACTGTCCAAGCCAACGGATTCCCTCTCCATAACCTTGTCGTTGTAGAACAGAGCACATGAAAACTTCCATAGGCCGCGATGCCATTTCGTTGCGCGATACATCTCCTGAAAAACATTCTGAATATGATAACAAACTTTTATAATCTTACCTTTTCCGGTGCACATGTGTTGAATGTTGAGCTGCCACTTCAGCTGGTCCTCACTCAAAGCTCCTGGTTTATCGATTTTATTTCCCAGGACAAGGACTGGAACTGAAGCGATTTGTTCATCCTGGAGTAAGGATTCAAGTTCAGCGCGGCTTTCCTGCATTCTCTCTGCATCGGCCACATCAATCAGGAAAACGACAGCATCAACGGCTGGGAAGTAGTCCTTCCAAACTCGGCGAGCTGCAAGAAAATCGTAACCAACTGTAGGATGGCTACACCAAACCTTGAGCGTGTCCTCCGAGATCGTATGTGGTGAATGAAATTCCTCCCAGGGACATCTGCTCGGATGCTGGAATGGATAAAATGTTTTTCAAAATCTGGTTTCTGTCGACTGGCGAGATTTGATAACCAAACCGGTCAATCAGCTGCGGACAGAGAAAAGATATTTCGAGTTATAATGAAACTTGGTACAGCAAATCGACATACATTTGTTCTCACAGCACAAACTACAGAAAATGTGTTGATAATAAAGCGCAGGACTTGATCATGATACCAATTTTTCTTATTCAAATAGCGCCATACATTTTTAATTAAAAAAAAAGAAAACTTACTTGGATGAAGAGTAGGGACATGCTGAGCGATTCTGTCATCCTTAAGCATATGAAGCAGCGTCGTCTTTCCAGCATTGTCGAGTCCCAGGAATACCAGTTTACCCTTTTTATTGGTCAATCCTGAAAAGACTGAATAAAAAGCAGACATAGCTTTAAAAAACTAACCCAGCATATTGAGCACTCCGCTGAACCAGTCCCATAAAAAAGACATTTTGAATCTGAAAACGAATCAAATGATGCAAGAAAGTATGCGGAATAAGTGTTCGGAACTAAAATAAAGCGGTGATGGCAGAGAAAACGGTCAGGAACAGGCAAAATGAGAAGATAAGTAAAAACAACGGAGAAGAAAGAAAGAGAACGAGACATCGATAGGCTGTGTATCGTATGTTAACACCAGGAAGACAACGACACGCGCTTCCACGTGTACCAATGAAAGAGAAGATACGCAGATGGATAATCAACAAAAAAATTGATAGAACGATGCGGTTCCGAGTTTCAGAGCACTGTTAAAAGGGAATCTGAAGTGCGCTGACGTGTCCAAAGTGGCAAAAAGCACGACGAATGCGCCAGCGAGTAGGAAGTGTGTCAGTTGAACACCAGGCGCGCTACGAGAGCGGGGAGAAGGGGGAAATGAGGAGAAGAACAAGAGTGAAATTCCAGAGATTTTTTTTGAAAAGAAGAAAAGCTGAACGATCATTGAGAATATTGATTTCTCTGTCATATGACCTACTATTGGATATGAAAAACTGCTTCTGTTGTTTAAAATTCAAAGGTTTTCAACCAAGTGATCAGAGCTTTATTGAAAAACAACAACAACAACAACAGCAACATAGAAAACGGATGTGATAAATATCAAGGACTGATCAAGAAAAAGAGTTTCCTCAAACATAAAATAAAACCTTGTCATGTTAAATAACCTGAAATTTTTAATCTCTAAATCTCTACAAGATGAAGAATTTCTGAATTTTGCACAGTTGTAACAGATGGGATAGAGTCCGTTTAACTGGTAAGCCACCGGTCGTCGAGTGTTTTGATATTCAGTTGGATATTGGTACTGTTACTTGTGGTTTGACTGAAGATGTTATGAATCTATTGAAAAAGTTTTATTTGGAGGATTTGCTTCGCCAGCATTGAAGCTACAAAATTCGGAATGAGCCAGGTACAATGCCGTGCGACAGCAACTTTCACGGACTAGACAAATGTTAAGGTTTTTTAGACATCAGAGTAGTATGGGGGACTGAAGGCTACAGAATGGACCAAAAATACATGATGTGTATTTTTGGTAAAAAATGCTTTGTCTATGTACCGAAAAACCTGTAATAGTAGGGTTCCCCCACAGCCCAGCTTGAGCTGCATTTTCTTGGCTCCTATGAAAGATATCAAAAATGTGTCAACTGATAAAGTGTTTCTGAGATTATGATAAACAATTCATCAGTTGACAACTTTTTCATATCTTCCATAGGAAGCGAGATAAATTGGCTCGAAGCTAAAAGTTAAGCGGGCTCTTCTATTACAGGGTTTACGGTATATATGAGTTTTCAAATGTTGTCAAATTTCTGAATCTGATCCTATTTTAAAGTCCAGAACTTGTGTAAAATAATTTTTCCTTTTACAATCGAAAGTGTCACAACCAGTCCAGCAATTTAAATAATCACCATTTTATTTGAAATTAGAATAATTTCAGTCAGTGAAAAGTTCGCAGCTACTCATAAAAGTCACAAAGAAAAAAAAGAGAAAAATAAAATAATTCGGGGGTTCAACAGTATATACAGACAAACGAGGCAAAATGAAAGACGAGAAAGTGGGGGGTTGTTTTGAGCAGAATGTCGGCGAGCAATCAAAACGAGATCAGAGCAAAATGAGCACCTATTTCGATTCATCGCTTAGTGAGTACGGTATCCACCGTCTGGCTTAGCTGGGGCTTCAGTGGCAGAGTATCCTCCTCCGGCAGCTGGTTGCTCTGGCTCGACGTGGGTCTCCTCGGCTGGTTGCTCATCATCGTAGGACTCTTCCTTGGTCTCAACAGCTGGGGCAGTTTGCTCGTATCCTGGCTTTTGCTCCTGAAATAAGACATGGGTTGTTGGCAGAAAATATAATATTTGTATATCCTAGATAGACAGGCGACAGTAAGGAAATTGTTGAGTTTGTGTGAAAGAGAATTGTGGAAAAGTATTGGGACAATCCTAAACATACAGTGAAAGTTGGTGCTGGTGGAACATAAGGGGCTGGTTGTGGTGGTTGTGGTGCAGTCTCTTCAGCGGTAACCTCTTCAAAAGAAGAAGATTCCGATGGTTGAGATGGTGCGGCGACTGGTGCATCGGTTTCTTCTTCGTATACCTCTTCGACAGCTGGAGCCTCAGTCTGTTGGACTGGGTACTCAGTGACTTGTGGTGCAACTGGGGCAGAGGTTTCGAAAGTCTCTGGTGCTGGTGCAGCTGGTTGTGGTTGTTCAACAACTACTTGTGGCTCGACAACTTGTGGTTCAGTGACTTGTGGGGCTGGTTGAACTGGTTCAACATGTGGTTGTGGTGCTGGTTCGACAACTTGTGGCTCTGGAACTGGCTCAACAACTTGTGGCTCAGCTGGCTCAACAATTTCCTCTTCATATTCTTGTTCATTAGTAACCTCGGTGACTGGCTCGACAACTGGGGCAGAGGTGGCAACTGGAACTGGGGCTGGGGCTGGCTCCTCGTGGGTCTCCTCAACATGTGGCTCCTCAACGTGGGTCTCTTCGTGGGTCTCCTCGACATTGGTGGTTGGGGCAACTGGAGCTGGTTGAACATTCTCGTAGGTTGGAGCTGGGGCTGGGGCAGAAGTGGCAACAGCGACAATCTCGGTCTCCTCGGCTTCAGATCCAGTGGCTGGGGCAGATCCTCCTTGAGCTCCATATCCCTCCTCGGCGGTCTCTCCGGTTTGGACAACGGTGTTAGTTTGCTCAGCAACAGATGAGGCCCCGGTCTCCTCTCCGTATCCTCCAGCGGCAGAGGATCCTCCTTGTTGAGAGACGGTTCCCTCGGAAGTGACAGAGGTGGCATCAACGTGAACGGCGGCTGGTCCTTGTTCGTATCCGGCTGGGGCGACGGCTCCTCCTTGTTGTTGAGAAGTGTATCCTCCGTTCACGGCGGCTGGTCCTTGGTTGTAAGCTCCTCCGGCAGAGACTGGAGCTCCGGCTCCGGCGTATCCTTGGGAAGCGATTTGTCCTCCTTGGACGGCTCCAGCGTATCCTCCTTGCCCTCCTTGAACGGCGGCTCCAGCGTATCCTCCTTGAGCTCCTTGAGCAGCTCCGGCGTATCCTCCTTGGGCTCCTTGGGCTCCAGCGTATCCTCCTTGGGCTCCTTGAGCTCCAGCGTATCCTCCTTGAGCGGCTCCTCCGTGGATTCCGGTATCATATTGTCCTCCGGCTCCGGCTCCGGCAGATGGGTAGGAAGCTCCTCCGAGTCCTCCGAAAGCTGGTGGTGGTGGTGGGGGTGGGGCAGCATATCCGACTGGAGCTCTTGGGTATCCAGCGGCTGGGGCAGCGTAACTAGAAAAGATAGGAATGGAAAAGAGAAAGTTCAGAATTAGAATGGAACTTACGCAGCAGCAGAAGCTCCACCACATGGGTTAGCACAAGCTGGCTGAGATGGTTGGCAGCAACCACCTCCTCCACCAAGACCACCGATGCATCCAAGAGCTGGAGTAGCGAGAAGAGCAATCAACAAGAACTGAAAGAGAATGAGAAAGTGAGAAAGGTAATTTAACAAAAAATAAGGAAGATGAACTCACACTAGCCATGACGACGACACAATTTGTGTGTTAGAGAGTGTGTGTAGTACCGTAAAATGAAAGATTCGGTCAGCTTAAGTAGTGCCCTTGTCACTCCTCCCCTCACCTCCTCCGGCTGTGTGAAAGAGAAAGGCGCTGGCGCAACATGCGCAGGAGGAGGGGGGGGGGGGGGGGGCAAGAAGCCGCTTGCGTAAAACAGTTTTCTGAAATCGAACCTGGGGACGTGAAGGTCTCTTCGGATGCCATGATCTATCGTTTCGGAATGTGGTGTACTATTGGGGGTAAGCAAGCCTAACACCCCTGGCCAGTGTCGTCGCACGGCTGACCAGTGCCACCTTGATGTAAGGACCGGTATATTTTTGAAGAGCGAAGTGCGAAGATGGATAGAAAAAAAAGAATAGATGAAAGGAAAATTATGAAGATTCGATATTCAGATAGCTTATTTTAACTAATTTGAACTAGAAAAAAGAGCAGGTACACTAGCGAGTGGACTAGGAAATGAAAATATTACAATCTGCGTCGTAATAGAACATGATTCACAGAATTCTGCCTTCAAAAATAAATTTCCTTACATCATTCCACAACTCAATTCTACTTATTTATACTGCCTTATTATATTTTCACAAGAATTTCACTAGCAAGGACCATCAGATTACCGTATTTCCTCTGATATAAGCACATCCAAATTGGTGCTCATTTATTTCGATTTCTGTAGAAGATATCAAAATATTATCAACTGATAAAATATTGGTGGTATTATGATAAATATTTTATCAGTTGACAAAATGTTGATATGTTACACAGGAATCGAGATAATTCGGTTCAAAGTAGTTTGAGTGGGCTTCTATTAAAGGAAATACTGTAATCTGACCTTATGCTTGTGAAACCCTTTGAGCTTCGTGACCCTTATCATATCGTGCCCAAGTTTTAAAGATTATGAGTCATACCCTACATACCAGAAACCTCATTGTTTGGTCACCCTGAACTTTAAAAGACCTATAAAACTCCTAATCAACCTCTCCAGTAAATTCGTTACTCTGCCTTGTACCTCAATAATTCCAATTCCACCACTAATTTTTCTCATTTCATGCCTATCACATCCCATTCTCAATTATGCAATACGTCCATCTCTTCCCATTCCAATCTCCCTGACTCATTTATCGGATCCAGTGGCTGGATCCTTCTTCAGCCAGGTCGGCACATTTCGTTCTTATGCAATCGCTTCCAAATTGTTTCATTAGATTCTCTTCATCCATCCTATCACTACACTCGTATATTGTTGTGCAGAGGAGAAAACATTTTTTCGATTGATAAGCGATTCACTTGATTAATTGCCAGCGCCGTCCCGATCAGGACCTAAGCTTTTTCCCTTTCGTTGCCAATATATGTGAGGTGTGTAACGAAGCGAGTGGTGGCAGAGGTGAGGACATAAGGTATAAAGGGTTTCGATGACAGACACAAAAACCCAGGGGAACGATATCTGAGCTGATAAACTGGAAAATTTTGCATTCACTTTCTCTTTCTTTTCTGTTTCCGTTTCAGTAAGAAGAAAGACTTGATATGATGATATTCTGAATGATAAAGGCCAACTCTTCCGCCCATTTTGTACTTATCTCACCGATATATTCTAGCTTCTGACCATTTTTTAAATGAAAACAAGTATATAATTTAATAATTCTGTTCTTCGAATACCGTATTCCCTCTAATAGAATCCCATCCAAACCATAATCAACATTAAGCTCAATTATCTCGATTCCTGTGAGAGATATCAAAAAGTGATCAACTGACAAAATGTTTATCAAATTATCAAAAACAATGTGTATCAAATTATCAAAAACAATGTTTATCAAATTATTAAAAACATTTACTGGAACCGAGATAAATTGGCTCAAAGTTGACCTGCTTCCATTACAGGTTTTACGGTAGAAAATAGATGGTCACTCCGGGGATACCCTGGAACAATAGAAGAACCAGCTCTTATAGTATATTATTATTTACAACAAGCAAGTTGGTGCGCCTTCGGCGCGATTCAAGTCTATATTTATTCACGTAAGTCTATATTTATTTTTCAAGTTTTTTTTTTCAAAAGTCGACAGGCTGACAGAGGGACCAACAGACGCCAGTAGCGTTTTATATATAAGGAAAATTTGAACTTATTCGAAACAAGCTCTAATTTCACCTTCATTCTTTCTCCTAAATTTAATAAAAAATTATGCGACCAACCTTCAAAAACACAAATATATCTCTTCCTGTTTTTGTGATCCTTTTACTGTAAACTGACAGTCAGAGTCTAACAAACCGATAAAGATGGAAGGTGATATGTCTTCTGATAAAACTTGTCGTGACTAGATTCTATGTACCTCACGTGTAACATATTCGTCCAGATGTGCTTACATTATCTAATTTCAAGGCTACAGGTACATTTGTATTTAGAAACAGAATTATTCCTTTATTCAATAAATGTTTTTTTTGAATCATATTTCATCCACACTTGCATTTTTTGTGAAAGGTATCTTCAGAGCGACTTCTATTGTGTTCATCTAATTTCTTCTTTGAATAAAAACTGATGAGAAAATGATTCACATATTTTGTTTCACACCATTCCATTCATGTTAGTCAGCGTTTTTCAGATCTCCCGATTTGTTTCGGAACATGCTGAATCTTCAGAGACCGAGCCATATTCATTCATTTTAGAACAAAAAAGAGACGTAAGAACACATACACTCGGCGGTATCGTACATTTTTTCATCAGACAGAGATGAAAAAAATCCAGTTATTTCCAATTGAAAATAGCATGATCATATCAGTGTCTAGTCTGACAATGAATATTAAATAACCTTGGCTTCTGCCACGTCATCTATCATCACCAAACACCAGGTACCTCCGTGATCGTGGCCACTCTTCCGGTTCTTGTCCAGAAGTCACTTTGAATAGTGACTCTATAAACAGAGACGGTGTCTCTTGTTAAGCATGTAGCAACGTTGCATTCAAAAAATTCTGCCAATTACGCAATTCTCATGGTCTCCTTCCTCTCCGCGCATCGTCTTCTTCCTATTTTCGGCAACGAAATTCGTTTTATCGCCCAGTGGGATCCGATTGGTAGCAGATGCTTCTCCTTCTTCATCTTCTCTTTCTTATTTCTTCTTCTCCAAAATCCTTCATTACGCAATTTTCCGACGAGTTTCTGTTGTTCGGCGACGCCTATCATACCTTCGTTGACCTTGACAGAATCTAGCTTCTTCTCCTTTTTCTTTCCGTGATTTTTATCTTTTTTCGCATCTTAAGCTTCCTGAGGATCAAGACGAAAATATGAAAGAGTGAAATAGAAGGGAGCAAGGGATAATGGAAAATAAGTTATTTATTAGGAAACAAAAAAGAGAAAAAACAAATATAGAGAAAAATAAGGAGAAGAAGACATCGGTTCATTTGAGGAGATGTGGGGATGATTGAATAGAAAATGCTTTGCATTTGAGTGATTATTAACACTTTGGGAGGGATGAAATTATCAATTGGCGCCTATTTTGCACATTGAGATGAGATGAGAGAGGAAAAAAAACAAAAAGAGAGAAAAAAAGAATGATAGAAATAGATTTAGAAGATCCAGTATTTTCTTCCGTATGGATTGGCGTTCTCGATGGTTTCAATTTGAATTGGCTCACTCACTTGTTTCGTCTCGGCTCCTTGTACCTGGAAATATTTTTTTGTAATATTTGAAGTGCTTTTTCAGCTTCAAATAAAAATTACAAAATCATTAAAGAGAAAATTTCAAAAGATTTAATATTTTCTATAGATCAAGTACAGTTTTTTCAGATGCATACCGAAGCGATGGTTCTTTAATTTTTGCTGGGGTCTCAAAAGTGGAAATTTCAACTAGAGGGGCCCTTCAATTAGAGGGTGCATTTGTATTTTTGGTAGGGTCGCTGAAAAGGGCAATTCTAAAAGAGGGAAATCGTTTTCCGGTGGAATTTTATTAATTACTCTCGATTTAAACTCTTTAAGATAAGATAGAATCTCCAAAAAAGTCTAAAAACAAAAAATTATCGGACAGAAACTTTGCCACATTAATTCAGCAAAGGGGCACTTCAATCAGAGGGAGCACTTCTTTTTTGTGGCGCCTTTAGATACACTCTCTTATTAGATGGGCCCTTCTAATACATGTTTTCCGGTAATCTTAAAATTTGTAATCTATATTTCCTGATCGAATTCCTGTTCAATCTTTCCACCCCATCTGTAGTTTTTCTATTACACCTACTAAAACAACATATCGGTTGCACAGCATAAAAACGTGTCAGTATTCTAACGAGAAAGCGTCAAGAATACAGTTTTACAATTCTGTGATTACGTCACAAACGTGTTCATGCATCTTCTCTATACGGCAACTTAAAAAAGAAGGTGATACCTACCTTTGCGAATTTGCTTCCGTACTCTCCAAGGTTTGGAACCACTTCGGTTTCCGTGGAAACCTAAAATAATTGTGAATGGGGAAGTAGCTCAACGAAAAATGCTGTTACCTTATTCTCCACAGATTTCTCATCATAATCGGCTCCATTGGATGTTTGTGCTGGTACAGATGGTTCCGGCTGTGAAAAGTGAAACTTAGCCATGCGAACAAAATAAGAGAATAAGATTTTTAAAAGTTACCTGGGTTGGAGCAGACTCATCGTGGTTCTCTTCACGAGATGTGATATTCTCGAAGAATTGAGAAACTGGAGCAGCTGATGTTGGAAGGACTTCAACGGTGACTTCAGCAATTGGTTTTTCGGTGACAGTTTGGATGACAGCTGGTTCTGGTTGAAGTGGAACTTGTGGAGTCACAACTTCATGAACTTCAATTGGTAATTCAAATTTGATGGTTGGAGCTGGAACTGTGGTAGTGGCTTCTACACGAACAGCTGGGGCAACTGGTTGAAGATGGATTTCTGGTTGATGAGCTTTTGGTGGTTCCACGTATCCGACGGTTGTCTCAGCAACTGGAGCGGAGGTGCCTTGTGGTTGGTATGTCTCAATTGGTTGGATTTGTTGTGGAATGATTGGGGCAGTCTCCTCTGGAACAACAGCTACTGGCTGTGGGTTTGATGGAGCAGCATTGTGGGTTGGCTCAGCAGTTGGCACATCTTTGCGATCTTCGTTCAATGGAACTGAGTCATAATCGTCTCCGTCTGTTTGAATGTGGGCTGTCTCTGTCTGTTGGTTGGTGTTTGGCTCAATTGTGACCTGATTGAAGTCCAAGTTGCTGGCTGGAGTAGACGAAGAAGAATCAAGCTGAAAATGGAATAAATTGATTATTGATAACGTTTTTTTGTTTTTAAAAATTGCTTACAGAAGCCAGAAGCTCGTTAACCGTATCTTGCTCGTTGCTTGGAATGTTGGAACTTGGAACATTTGAAGGCTGATCATAGTCGGATCCTCCAGTGGCTTCGATTCTGTCTTCTTCAGCGACAACCTTCTGAAAAATTTCTGATTATTCTAGGAAAAACCAATATGAAACAAACAGTTTCCGGGATGAAAGAGTGGGTTGGGGCTTGAGTGGCTTCTGGAACAGAGACTTGAACATTGTGAGCTGGTTGAAGAGGAGCTGGACGAATTGGACCTGGTTGAATTGGCTGGATGGTTTGAACTGGTTGGACTGGCTCAACAAAGGTTTCTGGAACAAATGGAGCTGATGTTGCGACTGGAGCAGATACGGATGGAACATGTGAAACGGATGGAACGTGTGGGACTACTGGTTGAGAAACTTGTGGTTGAACTGGTTGCGCTGGCTGTGGCACAAATGGTGCAACAGTTTGAAGAGCCACTTGTTTTGGATATGGAGTCGTGGTTTCGAAGGATTGCACGATTTCCTTGACGATGACAGATTCAGGAACAACACGTTGCTTATTCGACTCGATGGAAGTGGATGCAGATGGAACACGGACTTGGTGAGTCGGGTGATGTTCGGCAGAAGAAGAGGCAGAAGATGAGGAAGAAGAAGAGGATGAAGCCGCTGGACGATGGAGAGCTTGTTGTTGTGGTTGAACGTTGTGTGTCTCGGTTGCAGTTTGATGCTCATCTCCGTAAGAAGTTTGAGTGTTAATTGAGGTCACAATCTGGAAGATTCAAAAGGTGCAAATGACTATCTTTTATTTTTCAGCCTACATTATTTGGAGATGCGACGGCTGGCTCGGCAACATGCTCGTCCAAAACAGCACTAGCTGGCATGACCTTGGTGAGAACCTGCGCCGTACTCAGTACTTGTTCCTGTTGTTGTGTTGGCGCAACAATGACGCTTTTCTATAATGACATTACCGGTTATCACCCATTTGAGAAAGTTAACGATGCGAAACAATACCTCGTAAGCCACAGGTTGTCCTAGCAATGGCAATGGTTGGACTTGTTGGGCTGGCTCGGCTTGATAAGCTCCTCCAGCTGAAACGGCTCCAGTTTGAATGGAACCGTAGTTTGCTCCTTGATGAGCTCCAGCGTATCCTCCTTGGACTTGTTGGAACTGTTGTGGTTGTTGGAAGCCTCCGTTAGCTCCACCATATTGTGGTTGTTGTGGTTGGTAGCCTCCTTGATGGAATGGAGCAGCTGGAGCTTGTGGATAGGCAGCGAATGGAGCTGGAGCCAATGGAGCAGCAGCGTAGACTGGGGCTGGAGCAGCACCTCCACCTCCACATGGATTTCCACAGGCTGGTTGGGCAGGACTGCAACATCCTCCTCCACCTCCACCAAGTCCAAGACCTGGTAAGCATCCGATGGCGGAGCCGAATAGAGAGGATAACTGAAAACAACAAAAAATGTGAAATGAAAATGATCGCCTGTTTTGAAAGGTTGGTCGGATAATTTTCCAGTAATTTTCGGGAAGTGAATTAAATTGGAACGATAACTTATTCGATTATCGCAAAACCTGTAATAGAAGGGAGCCCACACTACAAGATGGAGCTCAATTATCTCGGTTCCTATGAGAGGTATCAAAAATATATTACCGGATAAAATATTAGTGATATTATGATAAACAATTTATCGGTTGGCAAATTTTTTATATCTCTCAAAGGAAACAAGATAATTGAGCTCAAAGTTGCAAAGTTGGTAGTCCCTTCTATTACAGGTTTTATTCATTGGTATCCTATAGATAAACGGACCTATTTGTCTTCTAGAAGATAATACGTTTCACTAGTTTTAGATCTCTGAATTTTTATTACAGATTTTGGAAAGTGAATGTTATCATCAGCATGAATTTCAGATTTTTTCGAGCTATTGCAAGATTTTAAAACTCAAAAAAGATACTATGAAACAGAAGAATGTTAGACATGTTCCAAGAATTGAGAAAAAAAATGTTTTGATTCAGAAGTGGCACTCTTCAGAATTTCCGAATCCGTACTCGATTTCGTAGAAAGATATGGGTAATAAAAATGTTCCTTTCTAATACGAGATATTGTAAGACAATAACAATCGAAATGAAAAATCTCCGTATACGAAATTTGTAAAAAGAACTCACCAGAAGCAGACTGGATATGTATTTCATGGCAGCTACTGAGTGACAACAAGAAAGTCAGCAGCGATCGGCATAGACGTCCTTTTAAGAGCCTCCTGGGGCTGATGTCCATGTACCGTAGCCACACCTCCTTTCAGGTTCGAAATCCCATTCGGCTGTTGTCCGCGCGTACTGGACACCCTGTCTCAGTTTTTCTTATCCCTTCTACGTCTCCTTCTAGGCTTCTTCCCAAAAAAACTAGAGGGAGAGAAAGAGAGACGACGCACGTTCGGCTTCGGGTTCAATGGGCCGGTAAGGAATCTGCGTCTCCATTAGGAGATGGTGATATTTCATTGACGATAATGCAACACCATTGATATGGGAGGAAATGAGAAGGCAATAAAAAAGCTGAGGAGAGATTGTTTATATCATAATGATCATAAACCCGCCAAAAGGTGTTTTGTGTTGTGCCGTATATCAGTCAGAGGCTTCTTGTTCCTAGGCTTATCTTCCTGGTTACACAGTTTACGCAAAAATTAGATTAAGAAGATTTAGTGGAAACGAAATCAACGATGGAGAAGAAGAAGGAACTATTTACTTTCCTTTTTTGGATTTTGAATTGATTCAAAGTGTGAGAAGTTTTCTTAACATCCTGCAAATAGTTACCGTAATCACTCCAATAGAGTGCCACCCAACTTTGAGCCCATATATATCGGTTTCTCTGAAAGATATCAAAAAGTGGTCGACTGATAAAATGTTCATTATAATATCACCAATGTCTTATCAGTTGACAGATTTTTGGTTTCTTTCGCAGTGAATGCGATTTCTAGGCCCAAAGTTGGAAGTTAGGCCGACACTCTAGTAGAGTGTATACGGTAAGCAGAGAATATACTTTTTAATGGCTTGTGAAAGTATTGAATTTTGAAATGTAACATTTCTGTGATTAAATTTGTATTTAAAAACAGACTTTTGAATCATCCTTCCATTTCCATAGAGACCTATACCGTGAAACCTATAATAGAAGGGCCCATATACTATCAACTTTGAGCTCAATTATCTCACTTCTTTTGAGAGATATCAAAAATATGTCAACTGATAAAATATTTGTTATATTATCAGTAACATTTCATCAGTTACCAAATTATCAATCAATATGGCTCATAGCAGTTTAGATAATTGAGCTCAAAGTGCCAGTACAGGGTGCCCTTCTATTATTATGTTTTTGGCGGTCTCCTCCAACTTTCTTTTTAATTTCGAAGTGTTCTGTTTTTAGAATCTAAGCTTCACCATTAGATGAATTTATTTCTCCGAAGTTTTGATAACTTTCATTCGATAACTTTCACAAGCTGTATCTTTCATATCAACATTCATATTACTTTCCCTTATCCATAATCCCAGAATTAAATGTTTATCCACCCCATTATCCCAGCCTCACCCATACCCTCACCTCACCGATTCGGCCATTCGTCAGAATTATCATATCAAAACTCTTCCTTTCTCTTCCTCTTCCTCCTTTTTCTTTTTCTACCTACATTTGTAGGTTTGCATCCTCGATTACGTAACCCGAATCGTATAATCGTATGGCGTCTCGTACGTATTTGAAGAGAGATATAGAAGGTGGATGTCGCCATCCCAATGGCAAACTCAAAAAGTCTCGTACCGTAACAAGTTTTAATTGGAACAACGCAATCTTTTCTTCTTTTTCCTTTCTGCTTTTCCTCCTGACAGACGCTCTTACGCAATTTTTAACGCGCGCGCCTACGTTTTCCAGAAGAGGGATTTCCTATAGGATGATTGATTCGAGACGAAATCGATGATCAAGATGTTGCAAAAACGGTGGTTATGAAAGTTGATATAAATGGAACTTGATTTTGATGCGCTTTTGGACTTGCAATATCTATTGTTAGAAGTAAACGGACCGATCGCATTCGAGAGTTTTCAACAATAGATTCGGTGTTGGTTGTAGATCCAGTTATTAGTGATTCTTCAACCACTGACTAGGATATGTTCTGAGCCTCAAAAAAAAATCAGAGGGTAAACTAGTTTCATTCAATGTTCAAGAAATAATGATAGTCATAATTAATATACTATAAAACCTGTAATCAAATACCATTGTGAAGTATGCAAACAGTCGGAAGCCGCTAAATGATTTCTCTGAAAGTAAAAATTGATGGCATCTGATTGAATTGCACTTTCACTTGACTCGTAGTAGCCTATCCATGTTGAGTAAACGATTTCCGAGTCAGCAACGCGAGTGGAACCAATTGAATAGGGAAGAGGAAGCAAGTATTATAGAATCAACTTTCTTTCTTTTTTTTCGGATTTCTGGGTAAACAGAACCAGGGAGGTAAAAGTTGTGCTAACAATAAGGGACGTTGTAGTCATCTCGAGCGTAGTGCTCATTGGAAAATTTCCTTGACTGCGGGAAAAGATAAAAGAAATAACATGATGCCATCAATAATTTAACGGTTCCAAGTGCAGATTCCACTGCTTTGATCTGTTCCAATCCATGAATGACGTAATCCGGATCGACCATCTGATCACTTCCGATCATTAGAATTGGCCTATAAGATCTCAGACGAGATGAGAACTCCTGCCGGCGAGGAAAACCCAAAAAAGTCCTGCGGTGTACACGCGGCAGGAGGTTTTCTGATTTTCGTCCACTGATTTTTTCTCGCCTGCAGGACTTTTTTGGCTTGTTCTCGCCGGCGGGAGGG